GTGACTACGCGCTCCCTCCCATGCTCGCTCCTCAAACCACGTCCGCACAAGCGAAACGCAATGGCCCCCATCGCCGCCAGTGACGTGTGCCGCAGTGCAGCCAGTGACCGCAGACACACCAGCGGGCCGGTCACGGCCAGGGCAAGGAGGCCGACCCAGGCGCGCGAGGTAAAGAAACTGCCGCCTGGCCAGAGCTCGGCAAGCAGCGGCTGGATCATGTCGGCAATGATGATGTAGTACCCGATGCACGTCCCATAGCTCTGCAGAATGACAGAAATCTGAACAACAGGCACCCATTTTCTGCCCAGCGTCGCAGCTGTCAAATCGGTGAAGAGCGGCGCCCGCGTCGACTTGCCGGCCTCGACCAACAACCCGACCGAGAATGCGGTGGTGATCATGACCGCCACAAGGAGAGCCACGGCAAGAACAAGACCAGCCGACTTGACTGCAAACGGCAGCGCCAGCATGCCTCCGCCAACAATAGTGTTTGTCAGATTGACTGTCGACGTGAGGACCGACGCCGTTCCGCGCGGGTGGGCGCCCCGCGCCGACGTCCGCGAGCCCACTCCTGCAGTAAAGGTAGAGAGCAAGTCAGAGAGCGACGACGAGGACGACAACGACGAGACCGATGACCCACTCCGTGATACCGTGCCACTTTCCGCTGTCGCCGTCGCCGACACAAGTGGTACAGAATCCATGCTGGTGGTGGAGGGCGTCAGCGAGGGGTGATACCGAGTCTGACGAACCGATGACGACAAAGTCTGTCGCTGCCTGTCGGAGCCGGGCTTGCGAGAAGGAGGGAGGCTGGCTGGGAGTGGGGAAGAGGGAGCAGAGGGGGGGGGGGGGGAGGGAGGCAGATAGAAAGGCGGATGGGAGGGGGCGCGCGGGAGAGAGAGAGAGAGAGAGAGAGAGAAGGGAAGGAGTCACTTGATCTTGGACGCGATGTCGTGGATGTGGGTGGTGAGAATGCGGCCTTTTCCGAATGCTGGGCGTGATCACTCGGCTGATCGAACGCTGGCGTGGCCAACAGCAGCTGGTGGAAACAGGCGACAGCCACACCACGACCACGACCAGACCGCAGACACACTCGACCAGCACTCTCGTGATCTGCACTCGTGTGCTCATGGGCACCAATCTTCTCTCTCTCCCCACAGAAGTCCTGTGTCTCATTCTCCACCACACCCTCTACCCTCAGCTCAAGCCCAGCAAGAGACCCGAGCGCATCACCCTCTCTCGACATGCGCCGCTCGGTCCGCCGCCGGATGGACCACCAACAGCTGGCCTGTTCCGAGGAATAGAAGCCGTAGTGGCGGTGGCCAAGACATGTACACGGCTGCATTCGATAGTGTACAGTGCTGATTCGGACTCGGCCATCTTTGCCCCGCAATCGGCCCACGACCAACACGTCCTTCGCTCAGCCCTCCGTGCCACCATTCTCGTCGTCCCAGAATCGCTCTCGCTTCCGCTCGTCTCACCGCTAAGATCGGTGATGGGACCTTGTTGTGTTCAGCCTGCCTTTCGACCCATCGGCTGCAAAGGCGGCGTGCCGATCTCGGCCTCGTCAGGGCCAGATGCAAGGCGGCGATCCGAGTCGTCGGCAGGTCCTCCTCCGGCCGACAACGTGTTTGCCCTCTGGCGCATCGGGATCACCACGCTTTACACCTCGCTTATGTCGTCGATGGAGACCTGCTGCGCTGCGCAGGGTCTCCTGCCGATGTACGTGCCACGGGCGCTGCCCATGCCGCCGTCGAAAGCGATGGTACGCAACGTCTTTGTTGCTGCGGATCTTGTGCTCTCGGTCCTCGCCGACGGCGTCCTTCTCGTTCACTCGCTCGTCTCGACTGAGCTGCTTCTTCGGTACAACCTCCTTGCCGAGTTTGCGCCCGAGCCGTGCTTTCAGGACATAGTCGTCGAAGATCTCCTCACCCAGAACGGGCTCGATCCGGAGACAGCCTTTGACCCCTCGCCCGAAACGCGCATCGGATCCAACTGCATTCTCGACACAACACCCGCACAGGCGGCTGGAAGAGAGCCCAAGTACATTGTCCTCCGGCGCGTCTTTCCTGGCTACCTCTCCCACGGCACGCTCCGAACAGCACAGATCGGCTCGGTCCTGGACGGGTCCGGCGAGCCGATCGCGCCCAACGCCGAGTACCGGCAGCTTGACGACGTCATTTCGTCAGTCTCCATTGCCATGACCTCCATCGAGCCTGACCTTGCCACCGCCGCGGACCGACCGATCCGGTACGGAGACTACCCGCGGGTCTCGTCAACCTCGTTTTTTGTCCGATTCCGCATCCTCTCGTGCGTTCAATTTGACCTCGCGTTCATCATGCACGTCGACTACTCGCCGTCGGGCATTCCGGTGGCGCCGGCGAGGCTCTCTCGGGTCTACCTCGATCCGATTCGTGACGTCGTCGACATCTACGCCCAGCTCGATGTGGTGGGCAGCAAGCTGATTGGCATTGGGCGACTCACAATGGGCCAGGCGCTCTTTGCTGTCGACATTGGTCATCTCATGGCCCGGCCTGGGCTCGATCCTCCGCCACACGAGCCGCGCGCCTCGCCTCGCATGGCGGCCATCAACCTCGAGGACTTTCCCGGAGGCATAGCCTTTGCCACCAAGACGCTCATTCACTGGCCAAAGGTGGCGCCAGGCGCTGCGCCGGCGCCGTATCCGCCCGGCCACCTCTCGGCGGGCGGGCAGTACTCAGACGCGTTTATTGCCGCTGGAAAACCTGAAGATTTGACCACCGCGGAAGCGCCAGGATGTGAGTATGCCATCGTCACAAGCTCCATCGAATGGTCGACCGTCTACCTGTACGCGGTGAGTGCCGACTGGCACGACTTGTATCTTGCCGCTGTCGTCAACACGCCGCGCGTCTTTCGCATTGCCTCCTTTGATATCATCCACCACGCCGAGCCGACTCCTGACGGCAGTCTCGAGCTGGAGCTCTCGTACTCGTCGCTCCGTGAGGGATTCCGCATGCATCGCCGCGTCCTTCCGTCGTCGGCGACCATCCGATGCCGCCTGCCCCACATCGCGAGCCGCCGTCTCGGGCGCGGCCGTCCACCGCTACAAGTCAACTCGGACGAGTGGGACATTTCGGGCTTTGCGCTCATCACCCTCCGCGCACAGGTTCTCGGCTGGCACGGCATGCTCGACGGCGACGACGGGCTCCTGGCCCCATCCGACGAGCCAGCGCTCGATCGCATTCCCGTCGCCACGCCGGACGCGCCCAAGTACGCCGTTGCGGATCCGGCGGTCGACGCGTCGACGCTCTCGCCAGACCTCCTTCGCGAGGATCTCGACGAGAGCCTGCCGTGCGTTGTCTCGGCATCGGTCAACCAGACGAGCATTCCCTGGCTCAATGTGGTGACGCCTGTGGAGATGAAGATGAGCAGCGCCTTTGTTGGCGGCGGCTGGCTTCTTCTCGTGGGCAACGTCGATTTTATGCCCGGCTCGCACATCTTTGTATTTTCGCCGCAGCCGGCCGCGGCAGCCGGGGCCCCGGCGACAAGACCGCTCCTCGCGGGCAGGCTTCCAGCAGACGTTGCGACCGTCATCAGCCCGCTCGCAGGCCTTCTCTACTACTCGGGCATCATGACGTCGCGGCGGCTGGTGGCGCTGCGATTCAGCCTCCTGGTGAGCCTCTTTTGGCTTCCAGTCGGCTCGATCGTCTGGTGGCGCGCCGGGCACGCGCTCGGTTGGGCTTGGCTCGCGGCCACTGTCCCGGTCGCAGGCATGGCAGCGATGGCGGCGGCTGGCATCCGCGCACTCGCAACCAACTCGGCCGCCGCCCACCACTATGTCAGTGCAGTCCCACTCACTGCGTTTGCCGGCATTTTCGCCCGCTTGCTCAGCACCGGCGGTTATGTGCCGGAAGCGCTTCCAGCAGTCGCTCTCGCCGGCATCGCCACTGGCTTCTCGCACCGAGTCGAGTCGCTGGCGTCGTACACGAGCTCAAGCCTCCTCCTCCCGTTGAATCCGACGCACTGGTTCTATTGCGTCTTTGCGCTGTACCTCATCTTTGCGACTGGAGCCGGCGTAGGCTCACCTGGCTGGTTCGTCCTCGTCCTCGTCTACAACGTCATTACCGGATTGGCTATTGCGACCAGCGCGGTGACCATCGGGGCCACTGCCGTTGGCCCGACCACCTACATCGGCGGCTCGCTGCAGAATCCGACAACAGCTGCAAACAACGACCCGCTCGTGCCGCGTGGGAGCAACCTCGCGCGCCTTGTTGCCGTCCTCGGCGTGGTCGTTGCACTCTGGTTCGCTGCGCTCGCGTGGATGCTCGGTTACATCGACCCGGTGACGCCGCTAATGGAAGTCGACAACAGACTCGACGCTTACACCATGATGTCTCCTGCAACCACCGATGCCATCGACAAGTTCCTGGCGTCGGCGCTGCCCGCCGTCCGACGAGCGAGCTACGCCTTTCAGCTCGATCTCCTCTACGGCTTTGATGCCGGAAGTATGTGTGCGGCCGCCGAGCGTCTCGCCTCGTGCGGCCTTCGCAACATCACAGCAGGCGAGTTGATGTGATAAAAGATGACCCACACACAGCACCAGCTCAAGCCTGAGGCCAACAACAGAAGCGAGCGATGACAATGGAGGGTGGGAAGCAAGCCAAAAAAAGAAGAATGCCGGCACGCGGAATCGAACCACGATCTTTCGATTGACTATATGAGTCGAATGTACTAACCGTTATACTATGCTGGCTGGGGCTGGTTACAAAAAAAACCAAATGCCGGCACGCGGAATCGAACCACGATCTTTCGATTGACTATATGAGTCGAATGTACTAACCGTTATACTATGCTGGCTGTTGGAACTGCCATCCGTTTCCACTGTATTTGATATGTCCATTGCTTTGCACGTCGGGACGAGTCGGGCACACAGTCCGTGTCGGCTTTGCTTGTGCACCTGGCCAAAGTTACACCTTCAATCCATGCCACTCTCTAACCTTTCCAAGCCGCCCTCTTTCCCTTTGCGCGAGAAAGCCATGCTCTGCGGCGGCGATGCGGCAGAGGACGTACCTCGAGCGTGGAGCAACGAGGGAGCGGGTGTGCGAACACTTGCTCGCCCGGTGCCACGCAAGAAAAGCTGCCAAACACAAGCCAGTGACGCTACCACCCCCGATCATGTCCTTTGGTGGCCTACCTCTCCATACGATGGTCCTTTCATGTCGGGAGAAGGCGAAATATGCGCAAGACTCTGCTCTTGCGCCGCAAAATGAAAAGAAAAGAGATCGTCCCATGGAACACGATCTCCTATCCTCGCCGCGCGCATCGGCTCGGCACATACGCGAATGTGCAGCCCTGATCTCATGCTGATGTTGACGGGAGCGGGGCCTGCAAGTCAACGACCGCGTGGCAGACAAGATACTGTGTCTTGCTTGGGGGCAGCAGCTCCGATGGAGGAGAGTGTACTGTGTTTCATCACTGGGGGTAGTCGAAGGAAAGCAGGTCCGGGTTCGTTGCGGTGCAGGCGTGACGGAGACGGGAATAGACTTGCCTGTTCTGTTGGTAGGTGGCATTGTTCGCAGCTTCTGCAGCGATGGCGGCCTCATGAGCAGCGTGCTCTGCGGCGCGATCGGCATCGATGACGGGCGGAGCGTTGATGCCGCCGATGAGGCCCGACGTGTCGGCGTGGTGCTTGGGGTGTGCCCTGCGGACTGGCTGCTGTTCGGGTGAGCCACCGATGTGGGCGAGCGAGGACGAACCGTTGTGGCGGTTGGGATCGACGACATGGCGACGACCCGAGGAGCGGCCGGAGCCACCGGTGGTGGGATAGAGATCATACTCTGGCGATGTACCCTCGGTCAGGAACTTTGTGCCACGGGTAGGTGCACGGGGCGGCTGGTAGCACGGATCGCCTTCGACGATGGGATTGCGACCAGTTCCCCACACCTTGGCCGCAGCGTACGACTTTGACGGGCGGGCGGGAACCTCACCTTCGAGCAGTGGATTTCTCGAGTATCCCATGACCTTGACCTCTGCAGCAGACCTCTGCCTGGGCGTAGGCGACCAGGCATCCTGATGGAACTTGTCAGACGGTAGTCCCGCTCCCCGCTTGTCATTGTATCCGCGCGCCCTGCCCGTTGCCCGCGGTGGCACTCCGCCCTGTCCTCCCCCCCGTCCGCCGCCACCGTCGCCGTCGCCGACACCGCCACCGTCGACCAGCACATCGACTGCATGGTGAGTATGGGCATGTATAAGGCATGTGTATGTGTGCATGGGTGTAGGGGTGTACGTACTGTTCCGAGAATGGGGTTCGTCGTGTACAGCCGGGGATCCATGTCGTGGTTGGGAACGAGTCGGCTGTGCCGTTGTCTTGTCTCTGCCTGCCTCAGTGCCCAAAATTTCAAACCATTTGGGCGGCGGCAGTTGTACCCGTTTACGGTACGGAATGGACGAATTTGTCCGTCGCGCAAGCCGCGCTCAGGCGACGCTCCACAGACGTCGCAACGTCCATGAATTGTTGTAAAAGAGTAGTACAATGTGTTACTGGCTGCCACAACAGAAAATAGTCGGTGATGCAGGGATGGACGCCGCACGCGGCGCAAAAGGTCCGCGGCCGCGATCGATCGCTTACTATGAAGCTTCCGGCAGGCGAGGCAGTCGCGTCGCAACGGCTTGTTGGGGAGAGTGGTGATGACGAGCAGCCGCTTCAGAGGGACGCTTCCGCTTGCGCGACGGCGCGGAGCTGACAGCGTCGGCGCTGGCAGCGAGGGTGTCGATGATGTCGTGGAGAAAAGCCACGCGAGTCATGGCGGGGCGTGGCATCCTTCAGGCGGGTGTCTACGTGTCGGCCGCCATCACGTACGGGCGCGCGTCTCACCTCAAGCCGCAGGCCGAGCAGGCGTCGCGCAGCGTCGGCCGGTGAGCTGCAAGTCAAGCATCATCGAGTTGTTCACTTTGAGACGCGCGACAACGCGTCCAAACGACCGTACCATTAAGGGTTACTTGCCGACCTCACCGTTGTTGTTGTCGATGTCGGCAAGCTCGTCATTGTTGTCGGTGATCTCGCCATCGTCGTCGTCGCCATCGTCGTCGGCAACCTCACCATCGTTGTCGTTGTTGTTCTCGTCGTCGTCGGCAACCTCACCATGGTCGCCGTCAGCATCATCAGTGCCGCCCCCAGCAACCTCGGCTCGGCGTGCCCGAAAGACGTGTGGATCAAGCACGGCCGCGTGAGTCCCACGCGAGAGCGCCTGCCGCACAATGTGGGTCCACGGCGCCGACACGTATGTGACAAAGGCATTGAGCATGCGCGAGGCGTTCAGAACCTCTGGCACCGCCTTCTTCGCTTTGGCCTTTCCTCCGCCTCCACCCGCCCGCGACAGCGAGGCCACAGTGCCCGTAGCTGCCTTGGCGATCGATGAAAACGTGCTCCGCCACGACTTCTTCTTGGCGCCCACATTGGCCTCACTCGCCGCGGCAGCCTCAGCGGCGGCAGCTTCATCAGTCTGCCAGTCCATCCAATAAGCCGACGTAGCAACCTGGGCGCGGCCCTTCTCGTCGGCGCCGCGGAGCATGAGAAACTCGACCTGATCCTTGGCCCGCGCCTCGGCCTTGCGCCGCGATAGCTTAGCCGCCGACCGCGCCACCCGCTTGCGGAACGCGCTGGCCAGCTTGTCGTACCCGACCACGCCCTGGAAGATGACGCCGAGCTCATTGAGCGAGCCGCCGCGAACCCAGGCGACGAGCTCGATGGCGAGGACCTCGTCTTCGAGCAAGTACGTCGCGCCAAAGATCTCCTCAAAGTTGTCGACGGTAAATGTGAGCTGCGGGTACGACACGGCGACGGCCGAGCCCTTGACGTCCATCTGGCGCGAGGTCGGCGAGGCATAGACCGGATACGACGTGACTGAGACAGCCTGCTCCCACACTCGCGACTGGGCCGCCTTGCACACCGCCACCACCAACATATACTCCATCTGGTTCAGCACCAGATTCAGATAGAACGTGGCCTCCCAGTTGATTTCCGGATCGCCAATGACCGGCGCCGACGCTGCGCCTCGCCGGACCACAAAGTACGGCTCAACCTGATCTGAGCCATCATCCTTCCATTTGCTCTTACCCTTGCCCTTGCTCTTGCCCTTACCCTTACCCTTGCCGCCCACAGCCTCTCTTCTCGCCTTCAGCGCCTCCTGGCGCCAGACGTAGAAGACCAGATCATCTCTATCTGGATCATCCAATGCCACAAAGGTCTCCTCAAACAGCGGAGCCCAGAACGCATCCAGATCATCACGCGTCGCAGCAGCAGCCGGAGCCGCAGAGCCAGCAGGGCCAGCAGCAGAAGTGGTACCAGTCTCATCCAAGCCCGGACGACGATGATCAGCCTCATCAGCCTCATCACCAGCACCAACATCACCACCACCGCCATCCGATCTAACTTGCCCAGGTTGTTCAGGTTGTCCAGGTTGTCCAGGCTGTCCAGGTTGTCCAGCCTGGTTGGCCCTTGTCTTGCGGCTGCGGGCAAAGCCACGGATGGCCTCAAGGATGACCTCTATGCGCTCACAGAGCTCACTCATACCAGGTCAGAGGAAACTGTACGAGTATGAGTATGTGTATGAGTATGAGTATGAGTATGAGTATGAGTATGTGTGTGTATGTATATGTATGTGGTGAGGTGTGGTGTGGTGTGGTGTGGTGACCTGGCTAGTCGTCCTCTCTCGACTGACCGACAGACAGTGTTGATGATTCCGATCTTTCCACAGGTTGGGACAGATCTTGTTTCTTGTCCTCTCTTTCTCTCCGATCTTCCCCATGTTCATCATGTATGTCATGTGCTGGCTCAGGTTGTCTGTTGCTGTCCTTGATCTGTGCGATCTCCCCTCTCCATTGCATCGCTCTGCTCTCTCTCCGTCTTCCCCGACAGAACAGAGATCGCCAACGTCAAGTACATACTCCGATGCAGCTGCATTCTCATCCCCTACCTCATTCCACCGTACACTGTCCCCATCATTGCTATTGCCCAAGCCATCATCGGAATGCACCTCCATGACCTGCCACCAGCTGCAAGCAGTTGCCGCCCACCAGCGCCCCGCCCGTCTCTCCCCCCCCCCCCCCCCAACCCTACCGCCCCCCCCCCCCCTCCCCTCTATCACTGCTCTCGACAGAACAGGGAACATAGACAAGGATGGACATGTCGACTGATGTTCGTAGGGTATGTTAGTGGTGGGGGTGGGGGTGGTGGTGGTGGTGGTGGCGGTGGGGGTGGGGGTGGGGGTGAGCTTGTGGCCTGGTGACTCACGGTGGGTGGGGACATGGGGCGATGGTGGCGATGGTTGTGGCGGTGGTGGTCATTCTAATGATGTTGGTATCGGTGGTGATCATGCTGGCGATGCCGACACACACGATGACCATGCGGGTGATCATGCTGGCGATGCCGACACACACGATGACCATGCGGGTGATCATGCTGGCGATGCCGACACACACGATGACCATGCGGGTGATCATGCTGGCGATGCCGACACACACGATGACCATGCGGGTGATCATGCTGGCGATGCCGACACACACGATGACCATGCGGGTGATCATGCTGGCGATGCCGACACACACGATGACCATGCGGGTGATCATGCTGGCGATGCCGACACACACGATGACCATGCGGGTGATCATGCTGGCGATGCCGACACACACGATGGTCATGCGGGTGCTGATCGTTGCTGACATTGCCGATGGCTACTTACCACAGGCCGAGCTCGAGGCTAACCACGAACGTTTCCTGATCAACCACCCCGAGCTGCGCAATCTCATGGCTGCCTTTATGGTCCACGTCCTGGAGAAAAAGCCACACGACATCTACGCCGAGGCCGCAAAGTACTTTGGCACTCTTGCTCCCGAGCGTCCGACCTAATCTGCCCGCTGCCACATGCGTCCGCGTCTTGTCGACCAACCATGAGCCCCCCCTCCCCTCCCCTCCCTCCATCTAACATGCTCCGATCCCGACCTGTATTACCACGCAGCCACTTATTCTTGGTCTGAGTCGATGCGACCACCGCTCCGCCCCCCCCCGGTCGTCTGCCATCAGTGGTCGGCCGACGATGGTCGGCGCTGTGCTCATGAGCAGACTGCGGCAGGCACCACTTGACGCTACGGCAGCATGGGCAAGCAGGGAGGTAGCTCGCTCAAGAGCAAGAAGCGTCGGCATGATAGCAATACACCACCCCCTTCATGCTCGCCTTCGTCCAAGAGACACAAGTCACTGGCGAGGTCGTCAAGCGGAGGCTCGTCGTCTGCAGGCCGAGCAGTGATTGGCTGCTCGGGACGGACGAGCGATATTGCGGTGGTGATGTGGGACGGAGAGACCTTTACTCTTGCTCGACGGCCACGACTCACTCCGGCGGCTATGTCGCTACTCGCTGATCCACTTCTTCCAGAAATCGTTTGGTTTCAAGCATCAAAGGCAAGAGCTATCGTCGTTGATCATCATTATCACCTTGTGCCGCTCGCCGCTCTCACTGACATGGTTGCTCATCTCTGCCACCTCCCGCTACCGGTCCTCCTCGTCTACGGTCGCTTGGCTGCGGCGGGCTACATTGTCAAACGTGCTTCATCCGACCACTCGCCCCGCCTCTCGCCTCATGATCCAGTCGCGGGAGAGTCATCATCGACATCGGCGTCAGCGTCGGTGGGCGCGGCGCTGTCACCGTCGTCGCTGACGCCAGCTCTCAACGCTCCGTGGCGCTTGCTGCTCGCATGCTGCCGGCTTCGAGCAGTGCGGCCGAGCCACGACTGCCATGGGTCGACACCCTCGCGCCGGGCGCACAGCAGGCCGATGTGCAGGCGCTTGTCACGCCGGTCACTTTTGCCGACCTCGCAGGAGCCTCCGGCGGAAGCGACCAGTTCTCTGCTTCCTGGCTTGTGTGGCGGCGGGTCGGGCACGGCAAGCCCAGTCGCCGGCCACCGGATCTGTGCGTGGCGGTGTGCGATGCCAAGTCGCGCATTGCCACGCCTGTCGATGCCGCTCGGATCCGCAATGCTCAGCGCGGAGTCCCAGTTGTCTTTGCTGTTGTAACTCTTGCTTCGATCGAGTGGGTTACCTACCATGACGTGCTCATCCCGGAGCTTCCGATGTCGCTGCCTGGCAGCTCGCAGGCTGAGCTGGCTACGCAAAGCTAGCGACGAGGTCACCCGACTCGGAGCTGGCCGGGCCAGGCTGGGCGGCGCGCGGCCGGGCCTCCGGCGGCGCGACAAAGCCAGGATTGCCGATGAGGGCGGTGGCGACGTCTGTGCCAGGCACAAAGACGGTGCTAGTGTTGCCTGCGGCGAGAGCGGTGCCTGTTGCCTCGAGCACGTCGAGGCGTGCGGCATGGCCAGGGCCGAGCAGAGCGTCAAGCTCAGCAAGGCGGCGGCCGGCCTCTAGACGGGCCTCTGCCGAGATGATGCGGGCCTCTGCAGCAGCACGGGCCTCGATGAGCAGCGCGTTTGCGCGGGCCTCGGCCTCGATCTCGAGCGTTTTGCGGTCGACGTCTGCACAGTCGAGCTTCTCGAGGCGGTGGACACGGATGACCGACTGGGTGGCGAGCTTGTTGGAGATGCCCGTGTCGCAGATGGCCCACTTTCGGATGGCAATCTTGATGAGCCGGACACCGATGTTGGCCAGGGTGCGGACGGCGGCGTCGAAGAGGGCAGCCTTGTCGTCGTAGCCACCGGCGTAGTGCTCGTCGCCCTTGCCGCTCACGCGGCTCTCCCACATGGCCGGGTCTGCGGCGCCGGAGCCCTCACCGCCGGCGGGCCAGCCGATGTCGTTGACCCGCGACTTTGCGACGGTGGAGGTGATGCACGCGACGGCCTCGCGGCGGACAAGCCGGCGGACCTCGTCCATGTTTCCGGCCTTGAGGGCGGCGGCGCGAGCGTCGGTGATAGTGTAGTGGACGGTGCCGTCGAGGTTGAGCGAGACCATGTCCGCGGTGAGGAGATGCAGCGAGTCGACCTCGTCGAACATGTCGGTGACGTTGAGGAAGCCGCGGGCCTGATGGCGAACGTGCCGGAGGACGTGGTAGCCTGGCGGCTTGATGTCGAGCTTGCCGTCGTCGTACGTCACCGCCACGGTGCCGGCGCGGACAATGACCAGCGTATACGGTCCGATGCGCACAATCGGCTCGGAGAGGTCATACGACTCGTGGTAGACGAGCGTTGGTGAGTTCCAGCAGTGCATTCCGGGACCGAGCAGGACTGGAATGCCTGGTCGGTGGCAAAGCCAAGCGTGCCTTCGGCAACAGTGACCACGCTGATTGTGCCGTGCGAGATGTCCGAGGTCACCGCGACTTGCCCATTCCACGATCGCAGCGGCGAGAGCATGCAGTGCCACCCGGGGCCAAGCAGCTCGGGCACGCCGCCGTTCGTCGAGAGACCAACGTGGCCTGCCTTGACCAGGCGCGTTCGCGCCGCAGCGTAGATCCAACCAAATGGCGGCGGAATGAGAAGCCCAGCCACCACAGCCTTGATAGCCTTGAGCACCGTCGAGTGGCCAGCCTTGATTGCCAACTGCGCCGGCGAGTCGATGAGATACCGCGTCTCGAGCATCGAGTCGAGCAGGATGGCGTCCGACGCCGCCACGCCGCCAGCCGCCGACGCGCTCGCCACTACCTCGGCCTCGTACTCGCCAATAAGCCCCACACCGCCCTCGCCCGGGTTGATGCTGCCAGTGACCTTGCCTGAAGAAGGCTCCATGGGATCAGCTTCTTCCACTTTGCCAGCCAGCTGTGTGATGGGCAAGGTCTCGTCCGAGTGAATGGAAGAAATGACTGTGGTTTTGGCCGCAACCCGCACATGCCACAGCGCGCTCAGCGGTCCGCGCGGGTGGTACTAAGAAGACGCCCAGTTTTCGCCTTGGTAGGCGAGGCACGGGGTCAGGCGGCACGGTTGAGATCGATGCTTCTCGCGACTCGGTTGGCGACGGGCCAGTCGCCTGTTCTTTTTACACTACAGGCAGCCGGTGCGGGCGAGCGATGCAGGGCTAGATCCGGACTCGGCCGAGGAGTGCAGGGCAGATGAAGAGGAGGAGGACGCCGACGGTGAGGAGGGTGCTGACGATGGACTGGATGAGCCAGGCAATCCAGCTAAACCACGAGCGGATGACCGAGACGATGGACCAGGAGGCTGAGGCGCCAGCCGGGCGCGGGACCATGCCGTGGGGGTACGTCCGCGAGGTGAGGAGCGAGGATCCGTCAAAGACGTCGAGGACGGTCTGGGTGGCCTTGTGCGAGTCGAGGCCCGAGGCGACGAGGCCGGCGACGCCCGACTCGGTAGAGACGTAGAGGACGGCGTTGCCCGAGAGGCTGGAGCCTGCGACGGCGCGGACAAAGTCTGCGTTGGCGGAAAAGCTGGTCTGGAGAACGGCAAACGAGGACGGCGGGGTGAGGACGGCGCCTGCGCCGTTGTCAAAGGCAGCCGAGTTGACGATGAGGCATCCGGTGCGGCAGGCAACGTCAAAGACGTCGACGGAGAGGCGCGGAACGGCGGCGTGGGCGTCGTGGAGAAAGTAGGCCTCGAGGGCGGGGCGGGCGAGCGAGCCCGAGTATGGGACGACCTTTGACGACGAGGCGACGAGGACGATGGGTTGCTCGCCCGGCACGCAGCCTAGCTTGTCCATAGCGTCTGTGGCGGCGCGAGCATGGACTGAGATGAAGACAAAGCGGGTTGTTCGCTGGTGTGCGGCGGCGAGCGAGCGCCACAGCGGCGACGGCTTCTTGCGCGAGGAGCAGAGTGCGACGACGGCCCATCCGCGGTCGGCCCAGGCGCGCATCTTGTGCATGGCGCCGCGGGCGGCTCCAGCAGAGGCGCGCGCTGAGATGTCGAGGGCAAGTGGGGCGCGGGTGTCGGGCAGGCGATCGAGGATGGCGCTGCGGAGGTGGGAGAACGAGCCGCGGAAGCGGGTAAAGTGGCCATCTTCCGAGATGAAGAGAATGGCTGGGACGCGCGAGATGCGGAAAAGGCGAGCAAGCCGCCACTCTGCCGAAACTTCGACACGACCAAAGCGAGCGACGCCCGCGAGCGAAATGGCGACCTTGTTGAAGGCGTGCATGGCGTTGTGCGAGGCGCGATCGTGGTCAGCGTAGAGGAGCACCACCCACAGCGGGTCACGGGCGCCCTCGACCACATGGGCATACGAAGCAGCCGTGAGATAGACTGCCGGCGAGGAGAGCGATGCGCCCATACCAGCCGACCCATAGCCAGCACCAGCCGATCGCGAGCCGTAATAGTAGGCCGGTACCTCTGGATCGCCTGTGGCGTCGTAGTTTGCCCGTGATCTTGAGTTTGACAACAGCTCGTAAGCCTCATTGATGGCCACAAAGCGAGCGTTATCACTCTCACCACCTCGCTTATCTGGATGCTCTTCTTTCGCCAGTCTCCGATACGCTCGCTTGATGTCGACGCTGGTAGCACTCCGGTCGAGACCAAGGGTGACGTAAGGGTCAGCCTGAGGCGGACGACTTGCGACAAGGAGTGCGAGCGTGCCCACCACAACCAGTATTATCCCCACCATGCTCACCGAGAGCACCCGTCCTCTACCTACCATCTCTTCCTAGTTTGGTGAGGGAAGTGGTGCGGTCGGTGGGGTGAGGGGGAGGAGGGTGGTGACGTGGGCGGGGGGGGGGGGGGGGGAGGGGGGAGGGGGGAGGGATCACGACTGGTCGGCCGGTGAGAGGGATGAGGATCATGGGATCGTGGGATGTGATTGGTGATTGGGGGTGAGGGAGTTTGGTATTGGGGATGAGGGGAAGGGATTTAGTGGTGCTGGGATGGTGGTCATAGTGGTGATGGTCATGGGGAAGGGTATTACGTTGTCGGTGATTGTCATCGGGATAGTTGTTTGGCGGATCGTGATGGGGTTGATTCAAGGGTGTATGGGGGGAAGGGGAGAGGATCGTGATGCTCATGATGCCAATCAGTCATAGAGCGAGTGAGTGAGAGGGATGGAGCGTGTGTGTGTGCGCGAGTGAACGTGTGGTGTACGTGATCACTCCCCCCCCCCCCCCCCCCCCCCCTTCCCTTCCCCAATCATCTTGAATCAACGAATGGCTTCCAATCCATCCTTTGGTGCACAGGCGAGGGAGAGAGCAAGGGATGGACGGTGTGGTACACCTCACCCACAGCCATTGCAAGGAGTCACAACATACTCAAGAATTTAACATGGCTGTGTTCACTCCCGTCAACCAGGTGAGACTCACTAATGTGGCGGTGGTCCGTCTCAAGAAGGGCGGGAAGCGGTTTGAGCTGGCGTGCTATCCCAACAAGGTCATCGACTGGCGTGATGGCATCGAGACGGATCTGGACGAGGTGCTGCAGACGGACGTTGTCTTTACCAATGTCTCCAAGGGATCCGTGGCGAAGGACAAGGATCTGCATCGTGTGTTCAAGACAGAGGACAAGAACGTCATTCTCGAGACAATTCTCACAAAGGGCCAGGTCCAGGTATCGGGCAAGGAGCGAGCCAAGGTTCGCTCCTCGGTCCTCTCTGAGATCATCGAGATCATCGCCACCAAATGCGTCAATCCCGAGACACAGCGCCCGTACCCGAGCGGCATCATCGAGCGCGCGGTCAAGGACCTCAACTTTTCTGTTCATCCCAAGCACTCGGCCAAGAAGCAGGCGCTAGAGCTCATCCCGCAGCTTGCCGAGGTGCTGCCCATTGAGCGCGCAAGCATGCGCCTTCGCATCACCACCCCGGCCAAGGTCGGCAAGGCTGTCAAGTCCCGTATTGAGGATCAGGTCTCAACCCTCACGGTCGAGGACGAGGATTGGGGCTCGGTCTTTGAGATGGTCGCGCTTGTCGATCCCGGCGCATATCGCGCCATCGACTCGATCGTCGGCTCGCTTGCCCGCGGCCAAGGCCGCGTCGAGATCCTCGACACTACCGTCATCGAGGACGGCGAGGAGGCGCTCGAGTAACTGTTGCTGTCCCTGCTGCGCTTTGGAAGGGCACAGGCTATCGCCACTTTGTCGCTGGCACCGGCCACTAGCCCCCCCTTATGAACGCCCGTGCCTCCTTGTCCTTGTATGCGCTGGAGTATGTCATTATGTTCATATGTTTACAGTCACTCTAGCCATGCGGTTAAGCCACAAGCGACATCGGCGCCTTGAACACCTCGGTGACAAAGACTGCAAAGTGCGCCATGACCGACTCGCCAGAGACCGGCGCGATGAGCCACTCCCACGCTGCAGGCGGAAGGATGGCGTACGGCAGCTTAACAAAGATGTTAAACGCCAGCATCCGGCACGCCGCTTCGTCCATGCCAAGCAGAGCGCTGCCGGCTGCAAACAGGGCGTGGAAGACCGGCGAGTCGGTCTTGGTCCACATCGATGCAGCCACGCCGTCGACCACAATGTTGGTCGACACCGTCATCGGAGTATACGCGCCGACAACAGGGACCGAGTCGACGACGACGACGACATCGATGGCGCCCGACGCCAGGCGAACGGTGTCGCCGACGCGGACGTTGCGGATCGGGCCGGTTGTCCACTCGCCTTGCCGCGCAAAGTGGACAAAGTGGTTGGAGTGAGCGCGAAGTGCAGCACCCGAGGCCGTGGTGACGCGGATGGCGGAATAGAGGCGTTCAGGCTTGGCCTTGGCCCAGCCAATGAACGGCGTGTAGCTCTTCACGCCATCGCGGTCGATCGAGAGAATAATGTCGCCGATCTCGAGAGCGTCCATACGCTTCAAAGCGCCCGACACAAGGGTCACGATTGCATCACCAGGAAAACAGTCGTTGTAGCCGCATTGTTCGAGCCTAAATGAGAAGTCAAGATCAGCACGCTTGTAGCACGTGTCCTTGGCAAACTTGGTCAGTCGGCACGTGCTCGTGTTCACGCCGATGCCTGCCGAGCATGGGAAGTCACAAGAGTAGATCTCCGTCGGGACACGGACTCGGATCGCCGGTTTGCCCTCGTTGTAGTCCTCAGTACACTTGACAAACGTGGAGGTAGCATTTTTCTCCACAAGACCACCGGAGTGGCAACCCTCGGCGTTAAAGCCGCCAGATGTTGCTTCCCGGATGATGACTCCTGTGCAGTCGTCGCTCGCCCAAGCCTTGTAGACTACCTCGCCGTTTTCGCCCGACGACGGCGGCGGCGGCTGCGGCGGCGGCGGCGAGACCGGCGGTGGCGGCGGCGACGGCGGCGGCGGCGGATACGCAAAGCTTTCCGACTCGAATGGAACCGGCGACGGAGCGCCCACATACATGGTGATGGTGACTCGGTACTCGTCGTACCCAGTCGCGACCGTGCCGAACTCCATCTCCGAGTTGGCCAACTGGTCCACCGCTTGCGCCGCGGTAATGCCGCCGCCCATACCGCATGTGTCGAGTGTCGAGAACACTGCCGTCTGAGGAATGTTAGCACACTTGGTGAAGCGGACGCCCTCCGAGACCGTAAAGCCATCAGGAACCTGGATGGTCACCGAGACAAATTCGTTTCCCGCCCAGCTTGGGTTTGAAAAAAAAGGCGTCAGCGGGGTGACCGTGCCTGTGGTAAAGTTGACCGTCTTGGTCTCTACCGTCTGGCCAACAGCCATGCCGACAACGGCTGCAAACACCAGAGCGGCGACTGCAATGTTGGCGAGCCCCATTCTTCTTGTTGCAATGTGGAGAGAAGTATAGCTCGGTTGCAGACACGACAAGTGCGGGGGAATGGCCGCCTGTTGCAGAACCTTTGCAAGTTATGCAGCCGCTGTCGTACCTGGCCTCGAGCATCTGTTGTAGCCCACGCAAGCGCCTGTACTCACTCTTAGCAGTGTGCTTTATGTAGATACAACCAGCTGTGGGGTTATCTGCGCGCGTATGCTCCAGTTGGCGAGCGTGTGGGCGGAAGGCTATGTGCCGGTCGAGAACACGCGTGGGGCAAATTACCTGCTGTTTCGTCCAGCCACGTCACCTGCATGGACATGTACGTGCTCGGGCTGTTTTGCAATCAACCTTCCTTCCTTCCCCCTCCCCCGGCACCGAAATTCCGTTTCTCTTGCAACACCACCGCCGTTGGTGGACTTGCCGATTGGAAGTAGGCTGGCCGCCTAGACTGTTGCACGCTCGCTGCCTACCTTCACCCCTCCCCCCTTCTCCTGTGACCGGGAAAAAGAAATGATTTTTGCAATTCACACTGGCCTCCGCCAACGCAATCATGCCGCATCGACATCAAGCCAGGTCGGACCGGACCATCCAGCCTTCAAGGCCACATGTTCCACACGTAGTGTGTTTGCACACAAAGAGAAGGGGTCGTGTGCGGCACACGCAGGGGGATTCGGCGACTGGCGACTGGCGATGGGCGACTGGCCGCACCCACCACCACCCAGCTTTGGCATTGGCACTGCCTTTGCCTCCGCCGGCATCACTCTGCCCATCACGACTCACTCCACCCCCTCCACCCCCACCCCCTCCCCCCCCCCCCCCCCCCCCGACCCCCCACCGTCCACTTATGTCGTCCTCCACCGACATCAAAGTCAAAGTGTACGCCCCCCTCCCTCCTTCTCCCTCGCACTTCCCCCTCCCTCCCCTCTCCTTCGCCATACTCACGCCACCCTCCCCCACTTCCCCTCTCTGATCGTCCTGCCCTCAGCCTGGTTGTGGGCGATGTCGATGGCAAGTACAAGACACTGCACAAGAAGCTGACCAAGATCAATGCCAAGTATGGTCCCTTTGAAGCTGCTCTGGTCTGTGGTCGCTTCTTTCCCGCCGTCACTACTCCCGCCACTGCTCCCGTCACCGATCCTGCTCCCGTCACCGATCCTGCTCCCGTCACCGATCCTGCTCCCGCCACCGATCCTGCCGCTGCTCCCGCCACTGCTCCCGCCACCGATCCTGCTCCCGCCACCACTCCCGCCCCCACCACATCCGCTCCAGCCCCCTGCCCGGTCCTCGATGGATCGATCATCTTTCCCATCCCGGTTTACATTGTGGCGGCCGACGACTCAGGAGCAGACTACGTGCCGCAGGAGATGTGGGCGGCAGGCGGCGAGCTCGCGCCGAATCTGTTCTTTCTGGGCTCGCATGGCGTCGTTTCGCTCGCCTCGGGTCTTCGCATCGCTTACCTCTCGGGCCTCCACCGGTCGCCGCAAGCCTTCCACGGGCTCGATGGCGCTCCGCTCCGCAAGCCCGATGCCTACCCGAGCTACTATCAGGTTCCGCAACTCGACGCCCTGCTGATGACTGCGGCGCGGCTGCAGGCCAGCGGCGGATTTCCGGGCGTCGACATGCTGATTGCGCCCGAGTGGCCTATCAACTACGCTGTCGACGCGCAGGCCCCACCGCCCGGCCCTGGATCGGCCACTCGCGTCACGCCGGCGCTCTCGGGCGTCCTCGCTGCACTCCGGCCGCGCTATGTTGTCTCGGGCGGCGTGCCGGGCGCCTTTTTTGAAGCGCCGCCTGTCGCCAACGTCTACGCCCCGCATGCGACTCGATTTGTCGGCGTCGCCGCGCTCGGCAACAAGGGCAAGGCCCAGGCGCTGTACGCGCTCAACGTGACGCCGGTCAAGGCGCTGACGATGGCCGAGGCTGCTGCCGAAGGCGGCGCGGCGCGGCCGTGGCCACACGCGCGCTACCCACAGCTGGACGCAGTGTTCGGGCCTGGTGCTCGGCCGATCAATCTTGCCGCCGTCGCGGCCTCGCAGGAGGCCTCTGCCCCGGCCTCGTTCTTCTTTGGCGGCGGGTCTGAGGGCAAGCGGACCAAGCCGAATGGCGGTGGCAGTGGCGGGAATCCGAACGCCATCCCAACAGCCGTCCCGTCGCTGCGGATCATGCACATTCCGCCGCCGCCGCGGGCGCCAGCGCCTGCTGCACCAGTGCAGAAGCGGCGTGTGCGGTCGCGGGCGCCGCGGGCGCCGTCGCGCCCGTGCTGGTTCTGCCTCTCGTCGCCCCAAGTCGAGCAGCATCTAGTGGCGTCGGTCGGGACCGAGTGCTACCTCGCGCTGCCTAAAGGCGGCCTCTCGCCGGGCCATGTCCTCGTCCTGCCCATCGAGCACTACCCGAGCGGCGCCGGGCTCCCAGCCACCGTCCTCTCCGAGATGGGCGTGTACAAGAAGGCACTGGCGGCGGCCGCTGCGCCGGAGGAGCTGGTCATGTGGGAGCGGCATCTTATCACCAAGGGCACCTCGCACACCCACACCCAGGTTGTGCCTGTGGCGACTGGAAGCGCCGCAAAGCTTCGTGCAGCGTTTGCCGCCGCCGCTGCCGCTGAGGGCATCGCCTTTACACCCGTGCCAGACGGGACGGCGCTGCCGGACATTGACGGCGTCCACGAGTGGCCGTACATCTTTGTCGAGTACGCTGACGGTGTCCGCGAAATCTGCGTTCTCCGCGATGGCGTCCGGGTTGGACTCACCTTTTGCCGCGGCGTCGTCGCCGCTCACCTTGGCATGCCGGAGCGGACGTCGTGGAAGGAGTGCGTGGTTGGCGAGCAGGACGAGACGCAGCTGGCTGAGCAGTTTATCGCGCGCTTTGCGCCCCACGAGCCGACGTTTGAAGACGCCGAGTAAATGAGCTACTGCGCCGCGTCACTCTCGGCGAGCTGGGCCGCGACAGCGGCATCGACCTCGTGCTCAAGATGGGCGGTCTCGTGGAGGTCATCCGTGGCGTCGTCGGCCGTCACGCCCGACGTCAGCGCCTGCTCGACGATCTCGTGGTACTCGTCGGCGACGGTCTTCTCCATCACCGTGATCATCTGGTTGTCCATGCGGAAGGCAAAGGTGAACCGGTCGTCGAACTCGGCATCTGTGGCGTCTGCGCTGGCAGCGTCTTCGGCGGCGATGCCGCCGTCGAGGCCCTGGAAGATAGCCCGGGCCGAGGCCTCGTTGGCGGCGGGATCGGCGGAGGCCGTGGCGGGATCGGCAGCCTCGTCTTTGGCCTTTGACTTGCGACCAGGCGTCATGCGCAGCGTGGCGTGCTTGACAGCGTCGGCCTCACGGCGCTTGAGGTGGGTCACGGTGGCGGCAACGGCCTCGGGCTTGAACGCGTCGGGCGACGGAATAACCGGGACCACGGCCGGGATGTCGTCGCGTGTGCCAAAGTGCGTGGCAAAGGCGTGGAGGTAGGCGACGACGGCAGGCATGTCGGAGGCACGGACAAGGTCCGGCGCAGCAAAGATGTCGCAGTGAAGGTTGAGCTTGAGCGATGCCGCACCCTTGAGGAAGAGCGTGACGTTCTCCAGCGCCAGGAACGCCGACATCGGGTTGGCGTGGACGGCCGAGGTATCGATGGTCTCTGGAGCAATCTTGCCTAGGATGTCACAAAGAACCTCACCCGAGGCCAGCACCCGAGCAAGGTTGTGATCGAAGCTCCGACCGAGGAAGTTCTCCATCCAGGCGTGAAGCTCGGTTGAGTCCTTGAGGAACTTGAACGCCGCAAACTTGTTGCGCGAGAGAGTAAACGAGCCCTCCTTGAACTTGGCGACCTTGCGAACGGCTTCGGCCACCTTCTGGGCTTCGACCGTGCGGAGGTTGACCTCCTCCGCCGACTCTGCCGTCACCGGTTCTGCCGCCGCCGACTCTGCCGCCACCGACTCTGCCGCCACCGGTTCTGCCGCCACCGGTTCTGCCGCTGCCGACTCTGCTTCGGCCTTGGCCTTGGCAGCAGCCTCAGCCTCGGCCTCAGCCTTGGCAGCAGCCTCGGCCTCAGCCTTGGCAGCAGCCTCGGCCTCAGCCTTGGCAGCAGCCTCGGCCTCAGCCTTGGCAGCAGCCTCAGCCTCAGCCTTGGCAGCAGCCTCAGCCTCAGCCTTGGCAGCAGCCTCAGCCTCAGCCTTGGCAGCAGCCTCAGCCTCTGCCTTGGCAGCAGCCTCAGCCTCAGCCTTAGCAGCAGCCTCAGCCTCTGCCTCTGCCTTGGCAGCAGCCTCAGCCTCTGCCTTTGCCTCGGCCTCGGCCTTAGCCTCGGCCTCTGCCTTTGCCTCTGCCTCAGCCTCAGCCTTCGCCTTCGCCTCGGCCTCAGCCTTGGCAGCAGCCTCAGCCTCGGCCTCAGCCTTGGCAGCAGCCTCAGCCTCGGCCTTAGCCTTAGCCTCAGCCTCGGCCTTCGCCTTCGCCTCGGCCTCAGCCTTGGCAGCAGCCTCAGCCTGCGCCTCAGCCTGCTCCTGAACAGCAGCAGCAGCGGCCTCGTTCTTGCCAGAAACAGTCTGCTCGGCAGCTTGCTGCGCGGCAACCTGCTGCTGGGTCTCCGCAGCTTGCTGCTCAGCAACATGCTCCGAGCGTACAGACGGCGCCGGGGCACCGGCCACAGCCCCGGCATTCACCGCGCTTCCACCAAACGCGTTCTCCACATCCTGCGACGACGACGCCGTCGGGGCGGCCGCCGGTGCAGCGTCCACCACTGGCTGCGGCTCGGGCGCAAACGGATCATTTTCGCCATCAACAGTCGCCACAGCCGGCGCGGGTGTCACCGCCGGCGGCGTGTAGGCCGACGATGCCGCGGGTGTGTACGGGGTCGCGTTAGCAGTCGTCGACGCCGTCGCCCCGTACGCCACGTTGTGCGCCGCCGAGTGGCTCGCAAGACCCTGCGCGTCGCCATCGGGCACAAACTGGAAATGCTTAAGCGAGTACCGCCGCCCGCCAAGGTGGAACATGTTCTTCCACTCGAACAGCATCAGCACGCCCGAGACAATGCCCCAGATCATGGTCATGAACGCCATGCCGAATCCAGTCGAGTACTTGCCCTTAGTCCCGCTCACCTCTGCCTTGCCCACAATGCACACGTAGAGGAACCAAGCAAAACCAACGTTGCCCGCCACTGCAAAGTAGGCCGCCATCGCCCACAGCCGCGCCTGCTCCAGGGTCATGTAGTTGGTGAAGATATTCCAGATCGCCACCACGTTGGCCACCAGCGCCGCCATCAGCGCGAAGAAGCCAAACACGAGAAAAGCAAGTGTCGCGTTGCCACCGTGCCGGAACTTCTTGTACTTTGAGTCAAAGTTCTTCTCAAAGTACGAGATGGGCTTGCACCCGACACCATCAGCGCAGCCCCTTTGCAGACCGAGGTGACCATTGTCAAACTTGACCCACTCCAGCGTACCCATAGCTACAAGCACCCACAAGTCCATCACCATCCACCACCACCATCACCATCTCTCATGACCATAAGTAATCTTGCTCCTCTCCAAGTACTTTCTCCCAGTACAATACAATCCCCCCCCTCCCCCCCCCTCTGCTCTCTGCACCAAGTAGAGCTATGTGGCGGGGAGGCCGGGGGGGGGAGGATGGCACCTGGTAGTCACACATGCGAAAAGTTGGGGGGGGGAGGGGGGGGGGGGGGAAGGGGCACAGTTATGAAGGTCTAGGCAAGGAGGAGGAGGAGGGGGGGGGAAAGGGAGGGGGGGACGTACCGACACAGATGAAGATAAAGGTGAGGACGGAAACAAGGAGGGCAACAAATGGCTTCCATGCCACAACTACAGGGTTCATGCCCACCACGCCCTCTTTCAGCTTTGCGATGTGTTCATTCATCGTATCGTTTTATCGTTGGTTGAAGAGCGGTGGTGTCACGACCAATCATAAGCCATGGCTACGGCGGCACTGGTTGGCCAACCTTATCAGTCATCGGACGCCGCCATCTCCAGGAAGAGAAAGTGAGCATCTGCGGCCGCATCTCCTGTCGACGTAAACTGGAGCTGGTGCTCGCCGCGGAGCTTGAACGCGTCGCGCTCGCCCAGCTCGACAGACCCGTCGGCGCCGCCGTCGATGCGGAGCGCGCCCTCAATGCACACCAGGTATAGCTGCCGCTCGCTGTCCAGCTTGAACGCCACACTCTCGTCGCCGGCGGCACCTAGCTGCGAGATGTAGACGTTGACGTCCTGCCCAAGCGTGATCGTCTTGTCGTGCCCGCCGGGTGTTGTGTTCACCGCGCCGTTGATGGCGTGCAGCAGCTTGCCAGCCCGGTCGGCCTCGGCAAACGCCACCGAGCCGTACTGCGGCTCGACGCTGCGTTCTGCTGGGCGGACCCAGATCTGCAGGAACCGGGTCGGGACCTCGCCGTTGTTCATCTCCGAATGCCTCACGCCACGCCCTGCCGACATGTACTGCACCGCTCCGCGCCCCAGCGTCTCCTCGGAACCCATCGAGTCCTTGTGCGAGAGTTCACCGTCGACCACATACGAGAAGATCTCCATATCGCGATGCGGATGCGGAGGAAAGCCCGATCGCGCCTCGACAATGTCATCATTGACGACCCGAAGCACGCCGTACTGCTGCGGCCCGTCCCACCAATCCGCAAACGCAAAGTGGAACCGCGAGGTGAGCCAGTGGGTCGGCGTGCTCACATGGAGCGAACTTGCCCTAATCACACTTCCCAAGCTCCTTGCCGCCATTCTTGATAGCGCTCTTGGTCGTTGCCTTGGTCTCTGCCTTGGTTGTGCCTCGTTCCAACTCGAGCTACCACTCTCAATGAATCGTCCATTGCCATTCATTCCGCATCCATATGTCGTCAGCAGCGCCCCTTCGCACAACTCACCATTCGCCATCGCCATCACGAACATTGCCATCACGAACATTGTCATCACGAACATCATCACCACCACCGTCACCATCGCATCTACGCTTCCACTCGGGCTGTACTCGCTTACCTCGGCAGCCCGAGTCTGAAATGAAGTGGTGTGTTTTAGGAAATGGAGCCAGCGAGCTAGGCGCTCACTAGCCCTGGCCGGGTGTGGCCCGCGGTCGGATGGCCTACGAGAGGAAAGCCGCCATCCACCCGGATTGACGTGCAGACTCGCCCGCTTCCTCATTAGCCTCGTTGCCAATCTCAATGACTTGGTCGTTGCCGAGATCAACCTCGCCATCGTCGAAATTGGTCGCTGTCCCCTCGTCGTCGTCGTCGCTGACCTGAACCCACGACTCGGAGAACGATGCTGTGCTTGCGGTGCCGTCGGAGAAGACCTCCGACTCGTGGAGCTCGTCGCAGTCGACATCGCCCTCTTCGGCAACGTTGCTACTTCCGATACTCGAGCGGAGCGCCGTCGCCCGCGCCCGCGCCCTCGCCACCTCGGCCTGCAGCCGCGCAAGCTCGGAGTTTGCCTGCGTTGTCGCCGACTGCACAGCCTCGCACTCGGCCATCGTGTCACGGACGTAGACATTGAGCTTGGCCTTGCGCTGCGCGATCGTGGCTTCGCACTCGGCAGCTGCACGCTCAACAGCGGCCAGCATTCTGGTCGCCTCGGCCAGCTCTGTCTTCTTGGCCTCGACCCTCGCCGTGACATCTGCGAGCGCCTCGTTCGCGTCGACAATCTCGAGCGCGGTGATGCGCGTGCCCATCTCGGCCTTTTGGCGCTCAAGCTCTGCGCTCTGAGCGAAGATCTCGTCTGACTTTGCGCACAACAAATTGTTGCGCTTGTCCAGCTCGGCTGTCAGGTGACGGAGCTCGTTCTCTCGGACCTTGAGAACGGCCATGCCGTCTGCAAGCTTGATCTCGCGCCGAATGACCTCGTCACGACGGTCGGCGAGCTCGTTGCGCAACTCTTCGAGTGCGGACGTCTGCTCGGTCTTCTCCGAGTGGAGTCGGTACACCTCGAGCTTGAGCGCATGGATCTCGTGCGTCTTGGCCTCGACCTCGGCCTCGCGCGCGCTGACCTTGGCTTCGCGCGCGCTGACTTCTTCCTCGCGCGCTATAACATTTGCCTCGCGAGACTCCGCTGCGGCCATCAGCTCCGCAACATGCGCCGCTTCGGCCACCATAGACGCGGTCCCACCGGCGGATGTGTCGCGATCGTCACCAGCATTGTACCACTCGACCACGTCCGTGTGCCCGAACTGCGCAGCCTTGTCGAGCGGCGTGATGCCGGCGTTGCACTCGCTGTAGAGGTCCGCGCCTGCCCGGGCCAGCGTCTTAAGAATCGTGAGTCGACCCATGCGTGATGCGATGAAGACCGGAGTCCTGCCATCGAGCTTGGCTTGGTTGGGATTGGCGCCGGCAGCAAGCAGGGCCGTGACCACACTGCCGTGGCCCTCGCGCGATGCCACATACAGCGGCGTTGTCCCATCCTTCCTTGCCGCGTTGCACTCGGCACCAGCGGCAACAAGCAGCGCCACCATGATGCTGTTTCCAGCACGCGCCGCCGCATGCAGCGGCGTGTCGCCTACCGCGTCAGCGGCGTTGATGCACGCGCCGGCATCAATGAGCGCCTTCGCCGTCACAGTGTGGTGTCCACGAGTCGCGACGTACAGCGCCGTCTTGCCATCAGCCTTGGCCCGATCCACGATAGCACCTCGAGAGATCAGCATGTCTGTGATCTCGGCATGGCCTTCGCGCGCGGCCACGTAGAGCGGCGTCACGCCATCCTCGTTCGCCATGTTTGGATCCGCCCCAGCGTCAAGAAGTAGTTCGCCGATCTCGATGTTGCCTCGTGCAGCTGCGATGTAGAGCGCGGTTGCACCGCTTTTGGTCCTTCCATTGATATCGAGTTTGCCAGTCGCCAGGAGGAGCGGAACGACGTCGATGCTGTTCTTGAGCGCGGCTACATGGAGCACGTTCGCGCCGCTGATATCGGTCTTGGTCGGATCGGCGCCGGCGTTCACCAAGAGCTCGACAATAGGGTGCGAGTTCTGCCGCACTGCCACCGCCAGAGGGGTAACCTTGTCTTTCTTTGGCTTGTTGACGTTTGCGCCGGCAGCCACAAGCATCGCTGCCGACCCCTCATCGCACTTGTACGCCGCCACCATCAGCGGCGTCTCACCCTTTTTGTTGCGCACGTCGGGCGCCGCTCCAGCGTTGAGAAGAAGTTGTGTGACGTCTGGCCGCTTAAAGTTGGCAGCAAGGTGAAGGGGGGTGAATCCGTCTCTGTTGGCCTTGTTGATGTCGACGCCATCGGTAAGGATCGCTCTCACTTGCTCGACTTGACCGCGAACAGACGCTGAGTGCAGCGCGGCCACAGCCAGATCCGACGACGTGTTGGGCGGCATATTGACCTGACCTGGCTTGATCGTACCAAAGTAGAAAGGTGTGGCTAAGTCTTGCTGAGAAGCTGTTCTCTTTCGCCATTGTGGTTTTATCTCGGAAGTGTGACGTTCTCTCCCTTGTGTGACTCTGCCGGCCAGCCCCCAGACGCCCAGCTCCAGCCACCAACCGCCAACCGCCGAACGACGGCCGCTGGCCACCAGCCGCCGGCCGCCGGCCGCCAGCCACCCGTCTCCGGCCATGAAGCGACAGCGGAAGGACGGTGAGGGCAGCAGCGGCATGGCACCGCCGCCCAAGAAGGCCAAGGCCAAGACAGCAGCCAAGTCCACTGTCATGTTTGGCAAAAACGTACGTAGCTCTCTCCCTCTCGTCCACCCACCTCCCCAGTCCACGCCCCCCCCCCCCCCCTCCCGCCCCCGACCAGTGCATCCACAGCCAGGCGCCCGTCGACCCCCACCACACGGCCACCCCCCTCGTCCTCCTCCTCCAGCCCCCTCCAGCCCACCCACCTCTTGCATCCTCTCCTCTGCCTCCCTCCCCACACCTCTCCCACTCTTGGCCCACCTGTTGCCGTCAGTCTGTGGCCGTGCCTTGCTCTCATGCAGCTCAACTTTTTTTGGCGCTCTTTTGCTGCGCCTTTGTCACCGGCGAGCCCTTTGCCCGGCAGAGTCGCATACGACGACACGCGTGGGAGGATGGCAGTCCTGCTGCGATGGTGATGAATGAGTCATCTACTCACTATGGCGCGTGATCATGCGAGGGAGACGGGCAGAAGGACCTGGCGGCGTTCAAGAAGAAGCAGCTGACCAAAAAAGTGCGCGAGCTGCGGAATGAAATCAATCGGCTGGAGGCGGCCAACGAGTCGCTGCAGTCGGCCAAGGCCACTGCTGTGGGCGGCCTCTCGGCGCTGTCGAGGGCATGGGATCAGCTTGATCGCGAGGTGACGCGAGCCCTTGTTGCTTCGGGCGCGGCGCCAAGCTCTGCGGCCGACGATCTCGATGCTGCCATTGCTGCCCGCAAGGACGCCGGCGGGACGGACGCGCTGCAGCGTGTGGCGCCGGTTCCGCTTGCGCTCGCAGGCTCGGAGAGCGAAGACCCCGAGTCGGCTGCCGCCGCCGCGCTGACCGCGGCCGTCGGCGACCGCATCACCCGATCGGCCGAGGCGCTGTCGCTGCTGGTGAGCACCGGCGCGACCGGAAGCGTCGGCGGCGAGGCGCGTGTGGCGGCCGCCGAGGCCGCGGCGCGCCGGCACGAGGCTTCGGCCGACGCACACAACGACGCCATCGCTGCGCTCGAGGCCAAGCTGCTGGAGATGCGCAACGAGCGTGACGCTGCGCTGGAGGATCTCCGGATCGAGACGAACAAGACCGGCAAGCTCCGCGATGCCGAGGCCGAGCTGCAAGCCTCGCTCGCCGAGACGCGCGACGAGCTCGACACTGCCCGCGACGAGATCCGCAAGTTCAAGACCCGGGCGTCGTCGTCAACGGTTACCGTCGGCGGCGTCGGCTCGTCGCCGGCTTCGTCAGCGCAGGTCGCCGAGCTGGAGGAGCAGGTCAAGCAGTTCAAGGCACTCGCCGAGGCCCGCGAGGCCGACGTTATTGCGCTTAAGGAGAAGCGCATCGAGGCGCTGACTACCGTCGGCAAGCTCGAGGCGCAGGTCGCCGGCATCCTCACACCGGACGTTCTCAAGTCGTCTCCCATGTTCCTCCACATGCAGCACCGCGAGCCGGAGCTCCTTGCCGAGATCGACCAGCTCAAGAAGGAGCTTGCCGCCGCGCAGGCGAGCAACGAGGAGCTGGCCCAACTTGCCGCCGGCGCCGACGCCGCCGCTCGCGCCGCCCTGCAGCAGACGCTCGAAGAGGCACTCGGCTCGGCTAAGCGCGCCGACTCGCTCGCCAGCCGCTACCGCCAGGAGCGGGACGACCTCGCGCTCCGCCTCAAAAAGGCCGAGGCCGCCCGCGCCGGCACCGACACCAAGCGCGAGATGTACGACCGCCTCTGCCAATCTCTCGACGCCCGGATTAGCGAAATGTCTGCGGCGGCAGCTTCTGCCAGCGCCTCTGCCGACACCGCCTCCCAGGTAGCCGCCAAGTCCGAAGCCGAGCTCCGCGCCCTCTCGCTCGACGAGCTCGTCCAGCACGTCGCGGCCTTTGCCCCCGCCGCGGCCTCTGCCGGCGCGCTCGGCCCGCAGCTCGAGGCTCTGGCCAAGGCGCTGGCCGCAGCCGAGGCCGACTCGACACGCCTTAGCAAGCAGGTCTCCGATCTCAGCTCGCGCCTGGCTGCTGCCGAGGCTGCCCGCGCCGACGCAAACGTCGTCTCGGCTACCGCCAAGCAGGAGCGCGCTCTGCTCACTAAGAAAATCGGCCGCCTGCAGGACAAGGCCGCCGCCCAAAGCGAGGTCATCGCCAAGCTGGAGGCTGCCGACGCCGCCGGCCGCACCGCCCTGGAGCAGGTTCGTGCCGCGAGCACCCGCCTCGAGAACGAGCTCACAACAGCCAAGCGCATCGCCCGCACCGCCACCCAGGCCCAGCAGGCCGCCGGCGCAGAGGCGGCACAGGCCACCAAGGCGCTCACCGCGGCACAGACAAAGGCCGCCAAGCTCGAGGTCCAGCTCGAGGACAAGGTCGCCGAGCTCAAGACTGCAGAGACAAAGACCAAGCAGCTCGCGCGCAAGTTCAAGAAGGCCAACGCCTCGCGCTCCTCCATCTCGGGTACAGGCGATGTCGCCGTCCTCGCCGAAGAGGTCGACATGCTCCGCGGCCTTGTCAACTGCTCCGTCTGCGAGACGAGGACCAAGGACTGCATCATCACCCGCTGCTCGCACGCCTTCTGCCGCGTCTGCATCGACGCAAACCTCGCCGCCCGCAACCGCAAGTGCCCCGGCTGTGGCCAGGCCTACCACAAGGACGATGTCCAGTCGATGTACCTGTAGTGCGCTCGAGCTTTGGCTGTCACGAGTTGTAAAACGCGGCCTATTGTGCACCCCTAGCCCGCATCTTTGCCGTCTCGGCTTCTGTCTGGCACTACTTTATGCCCTCGAGGCGGAGATCCGCCAGCTTGACCTTTTGCTCGTCCGAGAGCGCCGTGATTGCGTCGACAATGTGAGGCTCGACTTCAAGGGTAATGGCCGCGCCCGTCGACGATGTGAGGCAGACTTCGACGAGCGGGACAATGACAACCGTGAGTGCGTCGTCACTCTCGGGCTTGGCGAGGTACTCGCGAAGGTGGTGCTTGTCGTTGCGGTGGATGGTGACGTCGCTAGAGTAGGTGTGGAGGGAAAAGGCGCTTGACGAGAGCTTGTGCATTCGCTGGACAAGCTCGTAGATGTCGGCGCCAGTCGAGAGCGTGCCCAGCCGCTGGAGGAACGCCATGTCGGTTCCCTCGGCCGTGGAGGTGAAGACCCGGACGGCTCGCTCACCCGCCCGATATCTGGCCCGCTTCCGCGGTGGCTCCTCCGAGTCTGACGACCCGATTGATGATGTTGCCGACGACGCCATCATGGCCTTTCGCCGCCGGACTGCGTCGCGCTGCGCCTTTCGCAGCGCCTTCTTGGCCTTGCGCTGCTTGTGGTCGCTCTTGCGCTTCCGCTTCAGCTGTTGCTGCGCCGCCTTTTCGTCTTCTACACCCGCCCTTGCCTCGTCGCCGCTGTCGTCCATGATCACCACGCTGTTGCTGCCGCCGGCGTCATTGCTGTGCCTGGCCGTCGCATTGGCTGCGCCGTCGCTGGTCTTGGCCGTCGCCGCTCCAGGGTCATCATCACGTTCCCTCATACCACCATCATCATCGTCGTCACACACCACAAACATGGCCTGTTGCAGGACTTCACGCGAGGCAGCCTTTGACAGCGGATGCAGCGGGCGACGGACAGGTGGAGTGAGCTCTGCCAGAGACTCGCCTGTGTCAAAGAGATTAATGATGGACTCTGGCAAGTTCTCTGCCAGTTCCCAGGTAGCGTTCTCTAACCCAGCTTCATCTTGCCACTCGACCAAGTACTCGACACGGACTCTCTTGGCCACAATCCGTCGCAGTGTCGCAACCTCTTCCCCTCCGACTTGCCACTCTCCAGTCTCTTGCCCGCTACTACTTGTTTCCATGACTGTTCCTTCCGCTGCGTGTAGCTATGTATGTGTGTGTGTGTGTGTGTGTATGCGTGTGTGTTTGAGGAGGGTGGTGGTGGTGGTAGTGGTGGTGGTGTCGATGTGGAGAGGTGTTGAGGGCAAGATAGTGTGCGTGCGTGTGCCTGGTGGCCGTCGACTGGTGGCCGTCGACTGGTGGCCGTCGACTGGTGGCCGTCGACTGGTGGCACACCTCCCCCCCCCCCCGCCCCCCCCCCCACTCCCCCCTCCCCCCCCCTCCCCATCACCCAGCCTACAACCACTACAACCATCTCCACACACTCCACCGCCCGTAACTAACGCCCGATATTCCCCCTATCTCCACTCATCCTCCTTCCCCGCACCGCCTCAGCCACCTACCTCCCTCTCCCTAACCCTCCCACCCACCGTCAAGTCGTCTTGATCACCCTCTGTGACCCCTCCCCCCCTCCCCCTCCCCCCCCCCCCCTGCCCCCCCGCCCCAACCCAAACCAACCATTGAACCACTCGTCGCCCACCCACGGCCACTCCTTGCCACCCTCCCTGGCCGACTACGAGTCACCTACCATGGCTGCGTACGGACAGGAGGAGGAGCTGGGATGGAGCAAGCGTCAGAAGCAGGTACGTCTTGCCCTTACCCCCCTCCCCCACTTCCACCCCCTCCCCCCTCCTCCCCTCTCACCCGCACCCTCACCCCGTCAACTCCACCACAGGCCAACTTGCGGCTGCGGCAGCAAGCGCTGAACAGACGTAAGTACACCAAGCGATCAGCAAAGGTGTATGAAGCCATCAAGGCGCTGGAGAGAGCAGAGAAGGAGCTACTGTCGGCGGCTGGAGAGGCGGCAGAGGCCATGGGTGGCCTCATCGAAGGTGCTCATGCCCGCTGCTGCAAGGTCAGGAGCGTGTCAAGATCCAGCCGGCGCCACCGGAGCTTGTTCATGCTGTGGAAGACTTTATTGTGGCAAAAAAGATCGATCGCTCAGAGTACCGCCGCTTCCGCACAGAGTTTGATCTCGAGGCCGCCCGTCTCCGAGCCGGCCGCAAGTCTGCGCTCAAGGGTCGCCCAGAGAGTGCCGTCTCTGGCGCTCCTGCTACACCTGATCCGACCGCTGCACAAGGGCTCCCTGCTGGCGCGACTCCGTCGGAGGAGCTGGACATGGTGGTCCTCACCGATAGCGACATCTCCAGCGTGCGCGCGGCCGCCGAGCCGGCGCGGCCGGTCAAGATCCGCAAGATCATCATGGCGATGGAGGCGCGGCCGCGCGAGACCGAGGCCTTGCTTGTGGACCTCGAGACCGAGCTCCAGTTCCGCATTGTGTCGGACCAGAAGCTGCTCGACGCGCTGGGCCGGAACCCGCGGCTCGAGTTTAAGCCGGTCCAGCTGACCGTCAAATACGTCGCCAAGACCGGGATCAGCACCATTCGCGAGTTGCTGGCCTTTATCAAGGCCTCATACACCCCCATCTGGCGGTCGGACTTTGCCAATGCGTACAAGGAGGTCGAGCGGGACATCGACCGCCTTGTCCGCGTCGGCAGCGTCATCGAGATTCCCGAGGGTCCTGCCAAGAAGGGCACCACCCTGTACTACTTTGGTGAGCGCTACGAGCTCGACAGCGAGTTCCGGGAGATGTATCAGAACATCCGCCTGCCCGACGACGAACTTGCACTCGCTCGCGAGCTAGAGAAGGAGGACGTCGCCGTCATGAACGCCGTTACCTCGGCCAAGCACGCGCTTCCGGCTGCCTCGAACAACTCTAACAAGCGACAGAAGCTCCTTGACACCAACATCCGAGGCCTGGACAAGTCGCAGCTGGTGCCAATGCCGCAGTTCTGATGCTTACCCTTCCGCCCACGGGCCTCGCGCGCTGCCATGCGTGGGCCCTCGAGACGGAGAGCGAACGGACGTAGAGAAGAAAGCCTACACTGACAGCTTGCACTTTTATTGACCACACCAGCAGGTGGAGAGGAAGGCTGGGGGAAGAGCGGAGGTGGAACGGACGTGGCGGGGCAGGGCGATGGCAAGTGGAGAGGCGGGCCGGCAAGCATGCATGCAGAAGCAGTGGACCTTCAGACCATCAGGCCGTCGTCGGATGTGTCGATGAGGTCGACCGACTTTGACGAGTACTCGGTGTCGATGTCGAGGCGGATGTTGCCCTCGGTGGCGACGTGGCCGTTGCGGTGCAGGTCGTACTGCACGTCTTCGGCGACGGCGTTCTCGAGCTGGTCAATAGGCAGGTCGTTGGCGTCATACCCGTACGGGTCCGCCAGTTGCTTGGCAACCGAGTTGATGCCGAAGAGAATGATGGCAAAGAGGCCGGCCACAATCGGCGTTGCCCGGCCCATGGTGGCCACCAGCACAAACGGCAGCGTGTAGACGTAGAGGCCCAGAAAGTAAGTGAGGAGCTGCGCGTACGGCAGCGGCAGCTGGAGTGCACGGATCTTGTTCGAGCCCTGGAACGACTGCCCGAGCGTCTCGATGTGGGTCACAAACTGGAACTCGCGGAATTGCGAGATGAGCCCGGCCTGCGACATGGCGTCGACCGTCGCCTCCATCCACCCCAGGATCTTGAGCGGGCGCCGCGCCACACCCTCCAAAATCTTCTTCTCATCGGCAGTGTACAGCTCGGGCGCCACATACTTCGGGTTGCCAAACAAGTGTGTCTCGTCGCGGAGCTGCAGCCGGGTCAGCGCCATAAACAGCCGCAGATACCGAGACAGCTCCATAGCCAGCAGCGAGCTCTCATAGTCAGAAATCTCCCGCGACACATTACGCACAGCCTTGGACATCTTGCCCAGCCACATCCGCGCCTCACCGTACCGCACCAGCGCCAGCCGCGACCTCAGCACAATCAGAAACGCCAGCGTTGAGCCGACAAGTTTGTGAGCATTGGGTGGGACAACCACGCCCGTGCGCGCCGAGTCCTACAGAAAAGGGGAGAGGGGGTGAGTATGTGAAAGAAGAGAGGGATGGAGAAGGGAGCTTGCTGAGGTGGGAGTGTTGTTGTTGGCGGTGTTGGCGGTGGTGGTAGTGGTGGTAGTGGTGGTGGTGGTAGTGGTGGTGGTGGTGGTGGCTGACTTGGGCAAGCATTAATGAATGGAGAATTAATGCATGGTCGGCGGGATCCCAGTTGAGCAAACCGAGGGCGGGGGTTGGCAGAAGAGGGGGAAGGCGAGGGAGGTGGGGGGGGGGTTGTAAGGAGGCGTACAGAGCCAGACGAGTGCTCGTTGACGATAACAATGATGACGGAGGTGACAAAGGTGAGAAGGACTTGTGGCCAGACGAGAAAGAGGACAGAGCCGGACGAGGGGAGGACATAGCGGAGGAAAATGGTCCAGTTCTTGGGGTCGTAAGCAATCATTGCTCCTCTCCTCTTCCCTCGAAAGCCAAGTGTTGTCGTCTAATAATCGCAGGCACTCTTTGACACGCAGACTCGCTCCGCCTCCTAGCCACATCGTGCGATTGGATACATGCACAAGCAATCATCGACCCTCCCCACATCCTGTCTTGGCATCGCATCCGCATCTGCGTCCGGGCCTGTTAGCGACTGCGAGTAGAAGACCTGTGGTGAGCGGTGCCTGTCGTCACGGCGCCCGCGCCGCCCGGACTTCAACGGCATCGAGGAGAAAGGCGTAGCGCGGGCCAGGCTCGCCATGCTCGTCGAGCTCCAGATGAATGGCGAGGTTGCGCTCCTGGCCCGGCGCAAAGTCTGGGAGGAGCGAGATGCGGCCCGAGACATGCGAGTCGAGGTCGAGCTGGCGGTGGGCCGAAGCCGGCAGATGCAGCAGCGTCTGCGCCCAGTGGGTCGGCGGTGAGAGCGGCGAGGTGGTGAGCACAACGTCGGCGGCCTCAAAGACAGTGTCAAAGTAGAGGCAGATGCCTGCCAGCGGAGTGCCCATAGTCGCGCGGGTGGAAAAGACAAGATCGCTCAGCGTCGCCGCGCCAGCCACCAGCTCGGTGGCGGCCACCGTGCTGAGGTCCAGATCCAGGACCAGTCCCGGCTCGGCGGCGACCAGCTCGGGCTCAAGCTCGTCAACAGTGAGTCTTGCCGCCGTCGCCGCGTCGGGCAGTCCGCCCGAGCCCGAGGCAAAGAATGGGCGCAGCGCCCGCCAGCGCAGCCCGAACCGCTGCTGCGCGTCCCACGCGTCGAGCAGTGCAAGCTCCGGCACCGCTGCGGTGGCGCTCGCCGAATCAAGCTCCTCCACCATTCCAGTGTGCGAGGTGAACGGGACCGCATAAAGCAGCGCCCGCGACGGCAGGACCAGGCCGCCCGGCTTGAGAAAGGCGTCGCGGGCAAAGACCACCGACGGGAGCATCGACTCGTAGATGAGCGCGTAGCCCATCCATTCGGAGACGATGACGTCAACCGAGGCCTCCTCCAGCTCCAGCTCCTCTACTGGCGAGCAGACAACTGTCACGATGTGGCCCAGGCCGTTGTCGGCCACCATGGCCTCGGCCGCCGCCGCCGCCGCCGCCGACCCGTCGACGGCAACCACCTTGGCCGCTCCGGCCTTGGCCGCCATGCACGCCAGCACGCCGGTCCCAGTCCCGACATCCAGCACAACCTTGCCCTCCACCGCGCCCGCGTTCAGTGCGGCAAAGTACGCCTCCAGCCGCACCCGATCCGCCAGCATGTCCGCATGGATGCCCGGCGCTGAGTACGCCGCAAAGTAGCCTCCGGGAGCTCCGTCCGACGCCCACCGCGCTCCTCCGCTCCGCGCCCGCTTCCCGCCACGTTCCTCGCCTGCTCCCTCCATGTCTGCTGCCTACCTTGCCCCAGAGTCGAGTTGCCAGCCACGGCCTCGACCCCAGCCTTGACCTCGTGTCTTGCGTCTCCTCGCGCATGCACTCATCTTGACCCTGGCTAGCCGGGAGCCGGGCGGCCCGATCGGATCTGATCAAGTTCAGCCGCCGCCACCGCCCCCGCGTCACCGCCCCCGGCCCCGGCCCCGCCACCGCACTCGCACTCGGCTTGGGCCCTGCGGGCATGAGCGCGGTCAATCTCAATGACGACCAAGCCGAGGCTGTCACCTACGACATTACCGGGAACTTGCTGGTCTTGGGTACGTACATGGGGAGCTTGGGTGTGCGTGTGTGCGTGTGTACAAGCGTGGGGTGAAAAAGGTCGTAGTTCTCGCTCACCCACTCACACTCACCCAATCTGTACGGCGGTAGCGGGGCCGGGTCGGGCAAGACGCGGACGCTGACCGAGCGGATTGTGCACATGGTGCGGAGTGGAGTCCCCCCGAGACGGATTCTGGCTGTCACTTTTACCACCAAGGCTGCCGACGAGATGAAGGAGCGCATACTCGCTGCGCTCGACGACGACAAGGCGACGGTGGACAAGCTCGATGTGCGGACGTTCCACTCGTTCTGCTTTCGCCTTGTCTCGCGGTTTGCGCGCAATGCACAGGCAATGCGCGGTGCGGGCGGGAACTCGGAGATCACTTCGCTGCGGACTATTTCCCAGCCGCAGATCCTGGACATCCTGCAAGAGTGCCTCGCCGCCATCCGCCGCTCACACGGCGACCACTCGGGCGTCACGCGCGGCGTCGCTGGCGAGATGGCCAAACTCATTGCCGCGTGCAAGGTCCGCGGTCTCGGCCCAGATGCGCCCGAGGTCAAGCAGCATCCGAACTTGCATCTGCCGGCAGCGTACGTGCGCTACGAGGCTGCGCTCGCCGAGCAGGGCGCCATCGACTTTGGCGACATGATCCAGCTCGCCGTCAAGCTGCTTGAGGGCGATGCCGAAGTGGCGCGGACGTTTGCCTCTGCTTATACCTGCATTCTGGTCGACGAGTTCCAGGACACGTCGCTGATGCAGTGGCGGGTGCTCGGTGCCATGGTCAACCACCCGGACTCAGCGGCGTCGATCACCGCCGTTGGCGACCAAAATCAGCAGATCTACTCGTTCCGCGGCGCCGACTCGCGGTGTATCCTCGAGTTTATGCGGCTTTTTGGCTCTGCCGACCGCAAGTGCAAAGTCATCAAGCTTCGCGAGAACTACCGCTCGACACGGACCATTGTGGCGGCTGCCGCGCATCTGCTCAAGGCGGCGTCGCGGGCCGGGCCCAAGCGCAGCCGCGGGCCGGCCGGCCACGACACTTCGTCGCCGGCCCTTTTCTCCCGCAAGTCGCAGGGCCAGCCAATCCACGTCCTCGAGGCAAGCTCGTCCGATGGCGAGGCCGCACTTGTCTTTGAGCAAATCAAGCAGCTGCTCACGTCGGGCGCAAGCCGGCCTGGCGACATCGGCGTCCTCTTCCGCAACTCGAAGAACAACTTTGTCCGCCAGGCCCTCATGGTTCTACTTGACGACGACGGCATCCCCTACGTTGGCGCTGGCGGCAGTGCGCTTGTCCAGCGGCCTGAGATCCGCAACATCGCTGCGTATCTCGCCCTTGCCGTCGACGAGTCTGACGACGACGCCTTTGAGCGGGTGATCAACGTCCCGGCGCGCTCAATCGGCAAGGTCACGCTGAGCGCGCTGCGGCGAGCACGGACCGGGCCCAACGCCTCCCTCATGGCCGCCGCCCGCTCGCTGGCGCGAAGCCCGCTGCTGAAGCGTGCCCAGCGTGGAGCTGTCGGCGCCTTTGTCAAGACCATCGACGCCATCGCAGGCGCCGCCTCGGGCGGCGTCCTCGACCTGCGCTCGGTCGTCGCCACCACTATTGCCGCCTCCAAGTACAAGAGTCACCTCAAGCGTGTCCATGCCAGCCTGCCGGCTCCGACCGAGTCCGAATCGCAGTCCGAGGCCCAAACCACAGCCCGCGCCGCCGCTGCCCGATCATGCGCCAAGGCCCTGGCCGCGCTCGACCAGCTCCTCGACGTGGCCACCAAGTTTCAGGCCCGAGTTACGCTCCCGGACGCCGGGCCGTCGGCCGGCCGTGGTCTGCTCCCGCTTGCTGCCGCCTTTGCGCGGTCGCTCGTTGGCAAGCCGATGGTGCCTGAGCACGCACTCGACCTTGTCGCCCACGATGCTGTCTCGGGTATCACCTTTTCGACCATCCACCGCGCCAAGGGCCTCGAGTGGAAAGTTGTCTTTATCATCGCCGCCGCTGCAGGCGTCATGCCCTTTACCGCCGGCGGCTCGGCTGCCCTCGGCGGCTCAGACTCTGACGCCGAGGAAAAACTCGACGAGGAGCGCCGTCTCTTGCACGTTGCCATGACCCGCGCCAAGTCGCGCCTCTTCATTTCGTTCTCCGGCCGGCCCTCACCATTTCTCGCCGACCTTCCGCCCGACGCGCTAGCGCACGTCAAGGCTGACGATGCCCCGGCCGGGTCGGCTGCGCTTCGTCGTGCCCCCAACTCGCGTGCCGCCATCCCGGCATCAGCCCCTCAGGGCTTTGTCACCGCTCGCCAGGTTCACAAGACTGCGCAAGCCCGCGCTGCAGCATCTTCCTCTACCGCTCCGCCGCGCGGACCCAATCGTCCGCGCCCGCGCCCGCGCCTCCACTCGCGTCCGCGCCCATCCGCCGCCGCTTCTACTGCTAGCTCGCCCTTTGCATCCGCGGCCTCGCTGGTGACCAAGGCCAAGGCCAAGGCCAAGCCGGCGTCGCCGTTCGAGATGGCCTCCCAGAGCAGAGCCGCATCACGGCCGATTGCTCCCGAGCTCATGGCATCGTTTAGCCCACCACCCGCGCCGCCTGTTCAGCCTGCCCCTCCCGTGCCATCCAAGCGCAAGCGGACTGCTCCCGAGGCGACCAAGCCCAGCGCTGCCAGCGCCGAGGTCGTGGTTGTGGATCTGACTGGCGAACCACGGCGGCGCCGTCCAACACGCACATAGTGCGGTCCGCGGCGTCCAAGCTCCGCAGGGCAAAGTCCGGCGCCAAGCGTCACAAGCCGCTGCCGCAGCGGGCACAGCCGGCCATCTCGCGTTTTTCGCGCAGTGAGCAGGTGCGATGCGGGGCACGGCGTACGCTCAGGCGGTCACGGCTGGACCGTGAGCGAGTTAAAGAGCTTGGTCGTGACATGCGAGAGAAAGGCAGGGATCGAGTGGCAGCGCCGGAGGTAGGCATCGACTTCGTCACCAAGCGAGGCGGCAAACGGCGTCTCTAGCAAGTGCATCGTGCCCTCGTCCGACTTGGCAAAGTACAGCACGTCGTCCTTGTGTTCGGCGTACATCGACCGAAGTCGGTACCGGCCCTGGTCCTTCATGTCGATCTGGAAGCCGAGGAGCAGGTACGTCACCTCCTTGAACTCGGCCGACATCTTGGCAAAGACCTCCTTGAGCCGAGTGTTCTTGGTCGCCGCTTGCGCCAGCGCCACCTCGAGCTCGTTGACCCGCTCGCGGAGCTGAGCAATGTGCGGCGCCTGTGGCGCAATCGGCGACGCCGCCCCGCTCTGCTGCTGTACCAGCGCCTCCTTCAGCGCCTTGTTGGCCGCACGGAGCTCGTCGAGCTCGCGCTCCTGCGCCGCCGCCGCCGCCTTGGCCGCTGCTGCTGCCGGATTCGACTTGAAGTGCAGAACCTTGGTTGTCTTGGCGTTGAACGAGCCAGCTCCGACCGCAGCCTCGAGCTTGGCCGCTAGCGTCTCGGCCTTGAGGAGGGCTGCGCCGAGCTTCTCATTTTCGGCCTTGAGCACGAGGTTCTCCTCACGGACTCGTGCGAGCTCACTCTCGCTCGCCGCCACCGTTCCGGACCCAGCTTCGCCGCCTGCGCCCTTGACTGGCGACCGCGACGGTGCAAAGCTGCCTGTGAGGTCCATCGGGACTGGTGCCGGCGCGACCGAGTCAGCCTGCGCCTCGGCGACCTGCGCTCGGCGGAGTGCCGTCCGCTGTGCTTCCGACGCCTGCTTAAGCTCGGCGCTGAGCTCGGCAACCTGTGTCTCGAGCGCCGAGACCATGGCCTTGAGCGCGGGAACCTTGGACTCGTCCTTGCGCGCCGCGTCCTCGGCAGCCTCACCGTCGTCGTCCTCGTACGCCGCGAGCATGTTCTTGTATCCGTCGCGCTCGGCACTCGCCACTCGAGTCGCCCGCTCGGCCCGCTTCAGAGCCGCCTGTGCCTCAGCCAGTGCCGCAGCGTACATCTCGGCTTGCTGGTTGGCGTGAATGAGCTGCTCCGTGAGCGCGTCAGTGTGGGTGTCCTTCAGCTTGAGCTGGGTTGAGCTCGTTGACGACGACGACTTGAGGTGGAGCACCGTGTCCTGCAGCTCGACAAGGTGGGCCACGATGGCTGCGGGCGTCGGGAACGAGCTCAGCAAGTCGCGCTCACGGAGGAGCGTTGCCCAGGCCTCACGCTCTTCATCGTGCCTAGCTACCGCGGCCTTGGCATCTGCGAGCGCCGCACGAAGCGCGTCGGCGGTTCCGGCCGCAGCCTGCAGGCTCTCGACCCGCTCTTCGAGCAGCGCCGTGTTCTGGGCCTTGGCCGCCAGCGCCGTGTTTGTCCGCTCGAGCTCGTGAACCTGGGCCTGCAGGTTCGAAAGGCGAGCAAGCTCAGCCTGCAGGGTGGCGGCGTCAGCGGCGGCGTCGGCGTCGCGCGACGACGCAAGGCGCAGGCGCTCAAGCTCGGCCTCGAGCTCGGCGACCCGTGTAAGCGCTGGCGTCAGCTCGGCCGCACGCGCACTGGCCTCTTGCCGCTCGCGAGTCACCTGCTCAATTTGCATGTTGAGCAGTTCCTTGTCAGCGGCAGCCGCACGCGCAGCGAGCTCGGCATCGTGCTTGGCGGCGTCGGCGGCGTGGGCGGCGGTGGCAAGCTCCGACTCGAGCTGTGCCACCCGCTCAGCAAGACTGGACTCGCGGGCCTGCGCCGCAGCCACCGCATCGGCAGCCTCTGCAGCCTCAGTGGCCGCGCTAGCCTTGGCCTCCTTCAGCGTGTCCATCAGCGCGCGGCGCTGCGACTTCAGATCCTCGATCTCGATCTGCGCCTGCTTGAGTGCGTCGCCATCGCCGGCACGGGCCTCGCTCGCGTCCATGCGGGCTTTTTCAACCCGGGTGGCCATCCGCGCTAGCTGAGCCCGGAGACCAGCCAGCTCCTGCGAGCCAGCCAGCTCGTCCATGCGAGCCATGCGGTCGGCGGCAGCCGAGAGCTCGGCGATTTGCTTCTTGAGCGTACCCACCGTCATCTCATACCGTTGAATAAGCTTCCACGCCTGCGGCAGGGTAGTCGGCAGGGGCAGCGAGTGCCCCTCACGTCCAAGCTTGTCATCATCAGCCTCTGCCCGAGTCGACCGCAGCGCTTGCTCAGCCACGACAAGGCCGGGCAAGTCTGGCGCGGAGAGAAAGCGATCGACATCGTGCTTGACAGCCGCCAGAGTCCGAGCAGCCGTAGTCGAGGAAGAAGACGTAGCAGAAGCAGCAGCAGCAGCAGAAGCAGAGGCACCACCCATGGCCGAGGTTGAGGCAGAGAGTGAAGCCGCCATGCCTGGGGACGGTGCCCCGAGCTTGCGCTTGCGCGACCGGACTGGGCCACGGGCCGACGACGAGAGCGGGCGGAGGGCACGGGTAGACATGGCGGAGAGGGGGGAGGGGAGGGGTATGTGTGGTGGTGGTGGTGGTGGTGGTGGTGGTGGTGGTGGTGGTGGTGGTGGTGGTGTGTGTGTGTGGAGATGCGTGTGTGAGTGTGTGTGTGTGTGTAGAGTGTGGGTGGGTGGCGATGGTGGTGACCGACTCGGGCCACGGCAGGTTGGCTGGCTGGCGGGCAGGCTGGCTGGCGGGCAGGCTGGCGCGGGCGGACGGGAAGATCTGACGCGATGATTTAGGTTATGATGCGTGTTAAAGGTGTACGAGCGGGTGGGTTAGTTGTTAAAGTTCCACGAGGGGTAGTAGTCAAAGCCCGCGTCCCAGTCGGCCCAGAAGACGTCGGTGAAGGTCTTGACGACATCGTGGTTCTCGACGATGGCGGCAAAGCCGCGGTAGGCCTGGACGCCGTCCGACTCGGTGACCGGAGGGAAGACCGAGGCGTCGGGTGCATCGTACGAGTCGAGGTTCCCGGTGGAGACAGCGACCTTGGAGCCATCCATGACAAAGTACTTCTGATGCCAGAACGGGAGGCACTTGGGCTTGGTCAGGCGGATGTCGAGCCCGTTCTCGTTGAGCCACTTGTAACACTCGAGAGCGATCGGGTAGTTGCCGACGAGTGAGGAGGAGAACATGAGCTTGACGTCGACGCCACGGTTGTAGAGATCGTTGACATTGTGGCACCAGTCCCACGAGTTGATGACGTAGATGTAGAGGAGAAACTCGTCAGTCGTCGCGTTCCAGGCAGAGGTGAATGTCTCATAGGTGTAGTCGGGCTGGGTGAGGATGGTTACGTCCATGTGACCGGTGATCGGCTCCGGGTCGGCCGGCACCTCCGGAGCGCACGTCGGCGGCGTGGGGTACTCGGGCATCTTCAAGATCTTGGTGTCGCGGATGATCTCCATGTCCGACGCGTTGTAGGTGTAGAACTGCGGCCACGAAGCACCATACGAGAGATCGTGCTCGAGAACCTTGTTGATAAAGTCGACAACCGGCGCCGCGCCTTCGCCCGAGAACACCAGGCCGGCCTCGCGGTTCTCCGACATGGACGACTTGGAGAGGTTGATCGAGGAGATAGCTGCGACCGAGTTGTCGGCCGTCACCGCCTTGGCATGCATGTACGTCGTTGTCTGGTACTCGATGACGTTGGCGCCAGCGAGCTTGAGGTAGGTCAGCGGGAGGATGAGGCCCGGCTTGAGAGCGTGCTGCCCGGTGCAGTACGATGAGAGCACGTTGACCTTGACCCCACGCGAGATGGCGTTGAGCGTCGCCACCCACAACGGATCATACGTCTCGTACCGCAGCTGCCACGGCGAGCACCCGCTGTTATACGAGTCACCACACGAGATCCAAGACTTCCAGTTGGGCGTCACAATCGTAACCGTCTGCAGCCGAGCATGAAGAGATAGATAAAGAGGGTGAGGAGGAGGGACAGCAGAGGGCGGCAGGGTATGGGACCGGGGCGGAACGTACGTCTGTGGCATCTTCGACGATCTTGGTCAGGGTCGGGGTTGAGCCCGAGGGGGAGAAGAAGGGCGTGATGGACATGTCGGCAGAGACGGGAAGCGGCGAAAAGGTGGCCTTGTACGTGCCCTTCTGCTGGTTGCACGGGTTGCTGTAGCCAGAGACAGCCACCACTGCCAAGCACATCATGACCACCACACAGACTTCCTGGGAGCACATGTTCATAACCATGTTTACCACACACGGTCAAAGAATGGTACTCAAGTGGTATGCCTACCCGTAGTCGGAAGGGTCAGGGTCAGCAGTAGCGGGAGGGAGGGAGGGAGGGAGGGAGGGGGGAGACACGAGCGTTGCTGCTCTTCCCCGCTTGGGGAAGAGGATGGCCCCATTCTGCTGCGGCACGCTCAAGGCATCGCAAAAAATATGGCCGCAACCATAGCGAGGGGGCCACCGCCACTGATACGATACGATACAACGCATGCGCTTGCATACGCACACGTACACACACACACACACACACACACTGCACGCATTTAGATATGCGTTCGTGTTCTTGCGATGTGATTGTTTGGAAGGATATCGAAGGGGGGGGGGGCGCAAGGATGAGCGCGTGCGTCTGTTCATGACGTGAGCGGACACAGCTTCCCCTCCTCACTGCCGCACGTGACAGCCAGTGGCTAAAAGTCGAGGCGAGGGAGTGAGGTGAGATACGAGCGGTTGTCCGGGAGGTAGCGATAGGCGCAGCCTTTGGTCGACGGCGCGCCCATGCAGCACGACCACGCCTGGGTCTCCGCGTCCGAGTCATCATCGCCGTCCCCGGCTGCGTACATGGTGACGTCCTGAAGGACGCCGAGATGAAAGTACTCCCTAGTGCGCGGGACACGGTTGCGGGCGCGGAAGCGCGGGCGGAACGACTTGCGGGCAGCGCGGCGGACCCGCTCCTCGTCGGTCTCCAGCTCGTAGGTCGGACCGTAGAGCTCGCGCAGCCGCTGCCGCTCGTATTGCTTGCGCTGCTGGTCGCGGCGGACCTGGTCGCTGATGGCCTGCGTCCGCTCCATCAGAGTTGGATGCCTACGACTTGAGCGGGCAAGCGCCTTGCGCCGCGCCTCGACTGCACGCCACTCGGCGTGTGCCTGCGCCTTCAGCGCCTTGCGGTCCGGCGACGTCGTCACGTCCCACTCGGGCTTGTCGCCCGACAGCGTCGGCGCTGTCGGGATCTCCGTTCGCGTGTTGACCACCCGTGTGGCGAGCACTTCGTCGCGTGACATGTTGACTGTCGTCGCCAGCCGCACCCGCCTGCTCTGTCTGCCCTCACTCGCGTCCTCGCCTTGCAAGTCATCAACCGAGTTGCGAGCCTGCAGTGCCCGTTCGCTGGCCGACGCCCTACTCTGATCGCGCGCCTGCTTCTCACCGGCCGAGTCTGGCGAGTCCGGCCCTACCGTGGCCAGCGACGGGTCATAGTCACCGAGAAAGATGTCGACATGCGGCGTCGACGGCTGGCTCCCACCCGCCGACACTGGCCCGGCCGAGTTTCCCAGCGACGCCCGCGAGCCACTCTCCACGCCGCGACCACCACCGCTACCATCGATACCCTGCTCTGCCGTCTGCCGCCGCGCAGCCGCCGGCCGGGTGTACAAACGGCGCTCATCAAAGTGGAACTTGTCGTAGGCTAGCGGGAACTGCAGCGGAACCTTGGCCGGCAGCTTCTCGGCTCGAAAGTTGTACGGTTGCTTCAGCGAATTGTACTGCAGAATCTGATGCTTCAGCACCCGCTTCGAGGGTCCTTGCGTCGAGATGTTCCACTTGGGCTTGTGTCGCTCCAGGATATCCTTGTGGATCATGGCCTTGACCTCTCTCTTGGCCGCAAGCGCCTGTTTCTCTCACGCACCACCGGAAGGAGCAACATCGGCAGCCATCAGCCATCGAGCGAGATAACCACACCGCGAGACGCACATCATGATGACCGCCCATGAGTCCATCGCCGCCCTCCCCACCACCTCTTCACCGCTCTCCACCACATCTACCACGTACACTGCTTGGAATATCACCGACACCAAAGGTTGTGGCATACAGGCCATAATTGAGTCTTGCCGAGTACACCGATCCGGGCTTGCCACGACCCTGTAGGCGGGTATGGCCACCGGCTCCGGACGCAGTACCATCACCGCCACCGCCAGTGCCACCGCCAGTGCCACCGCCATGTCGACGACCAGCCGGGTCTTCCACGGAGACCACGACTGCTACCACTGCTGCTACCTCTACCCTTTCCCATGAAGAACCGTATGGGCCACCGTATGGGCCAGCAGCTACGCGGCTGAAGTGGGCTGTGTCGACGTTTGTGGTTGAGGTGGCTCTGGCCGTGGCCGCGGCTGTGACCGTTGCCTCGCCGGCACTCTCCAGCCAACAGCACATCCCACCACACACAACCGATCACACAGCAAACTGCTGCACACACCCGATCGCACTATGTGACGCATGCCAACGTCACAGGTACATGTCAGACGCACACACACATATACACACACACTCGTACACTCATACAAACCGATACCTACCTCTCCATCGTGTCGCATGCTTCAATCTGTTCCGCCATCCTCCCTCACACCCATCACACTTCAAGCTGACCAAGTCGACCATGCTCCGTCCATCATCCAGCTTTCTCTCTCCCCATCCACCCACGCACGCTTTGTACAACCTTTCGTTGCCTCCGATCGCCTCTCCTCCCTCTATTCTCCCCAGTCCAGAACCATTGATCCAAGTGCTGTCGCAGGCTGTGGCACATGGCAGTGGCTCGGACAGCGCCGACGCTGGGCCCACGCCACCCTCGCTCATTCCTTCTTTCACCCAACTCGACTCACCCTCACAACCACAACCACACGTGCACTATATGGCGACCGACGAGGAGAGCTTGTCTGTACGACTGGCGGCTCTGAACGCACCAGAGAGCTCGACGACGGCAGCGCTGGGACACGCCGATGCGGCTGCCATGGCCGACGGGAGCATGCCCTCCATCTACGAGCTGAACATGCTTGCGCTGATGACCGCCGCAGAACTGGCTGATGTGACGCTGTTGGTTGATACGGATCCGTTTGCCGAGCCTGATGCCGATGGCGCTGCCTTGCTGGACGAGTTTCTGGCGGCGAGCAAGTCTGAAGCGGAGCCGGCTACACGCATCGACGGCGGCAATGGTGGTGAGTGTGACCATGCTGGCGGCGACAATGCCATCGACGAGCTAGAGGCGTCGCCAACCGAGACTGCCACTGCTACCACCACGGCCGACGTGGTCGAGATCGATGCACACGCGGCGCTGCTGGCTGCCCACTCTCCTGTCCTGCGCGCTATCATTGTAGACGAGCGCCGTGCCGGGGTCACTACCAAGATTCTTGTGCCGATCTCAGGCCTCGCCGAGGCTGCTGTTCGTGCTGCACTCACCTACATGTACACCGGCCGGGTGACCGAGATGGACGCAGGTTGGGTGGTGGACTTCATCGAGTTTGGGATCCGCTACCAGGTGCCGCTCCTTGTTGAGCTCGGCGAACTGTTTGTGGCCGAAGAGGTGACGGTCGAGACGGCCGCCGTCATGTGGACCGCCGGGCTTCGGTTCGGCAACGCCACCGTGGTCGAGCGGATGGCGCAGTTTGCGCTGGATCCATCTTTCTCGTGCGCCTTTCTGGGCCACCCGTCTTTCGCCAGCCTGCCGTATCAGGTTGTGGCGGCTCTCGCCGCCGACACTGCGCTTGTTGTTGACGAGCTGACCGTCTTCTCTGCGCTCGCCGCCTGGATTGCTGCCAACCTTCCGGGCTACCCCGCCACGCTCGACACCGAAGCCGCGACCCAGGCGGCCGGCCTTCTCGAGGCCGTCCGCTACCCGCTACTCTCGCCCGACGCACTCGCCGATACCGTCGAACCGAGCGGCCTCGTCCCAGCCTGGCTCCTTGCGGAGGCCTATCGCTTCCACGCCACTGGTCGATCGCCGTCGTCGTCCGATAGTGGCAGCACACTGCGGTTCACACCACGGGCCGAACCGCCGCCCGCCTCACCCTTGACAGCCTCTCCACGGATGTAGGGCTGCCGATGCCAATACGAGGCTATTTGTGCCCCTTTGCTCGTTGAGTAGACGACGATCCGGCCTCTGACGGTAAACAAATACTACTTACCGTCTGTCGTCATCCGCAGTGTAGCTCATTGACTCGCCACGACAGCGCGACACCAACTGGCACTTCTTGCCACCCCCCTACAACTACCCGTCCCTCCCTGACCTCGCCCTGGCCACAACGTATCCACGCCCGCCAACCACACCACTCGAATCCTCCTCAACCCTCACCATCCCATCATGAGCGTAGAAGAAGAAGGCATTGTGGTGCCGTCTGCTGGTCGTGTGGTCACCCTGGCAGAGGAGCTTGTGGGGGAGCTTGTGGTACGGGGACAGCCAGTGGCCACTATGGTCCTCGCCTCCAATGGCTCCACCTTTCCTGTCTATGCGCATGCTTCTGGCAAGTTGCTCTCCTTCGACGTCACGGCTCCGTCATCCGTGTTGTCAAAGGGCTCTGCTGTGGCTACTCTCGCTGTCTGTGCGCACGCTATTCAGTTTCATGGCCTCTGTGCTGTCTGCGGCGTCGACATGAGCTCGCTCGCTGCTCTCTCTGCCCGCTATCACATGCCTGATGACGTCATGGTCGACGACGACGACGACGGAGCCGACCCACCGTCAAGCATGATGTCGGTCACTCATGATGCCAAGGATCTGGTGGTCTCGCAGGGTGTGGCCAAGGCCATGGCTGTCCGGCAGGAGGCTCGGCTCATCGCCGCTCGCAAAATGGTTCTTGTTCTCGACCTCGACCTCACCCTTGTCCACGCTACCACTGATGATCGCGCTGCTGCCATTGCGGGTACTGTGGTGCTGGACTTTGAGGCCATGTCTGCGCCTGAGTGCGACAAGGGAGCGCTGGCTGACCTGCCGCCCATCGACGCGCCCAACGTTGTGCTGCGGTTCCAGATGGGCGGCGCGGCCAACTACTTTGTCAAGCTTCGGCCGGGCCTCCTCAAGTTTCTCCGCGACATGAACGAGCTCTTTGAGCTTCACATCTTCACTGCCGGCAACAGGCCGTACGCCGAGCGCATCGCCAACATTCTGGACCCGGACCAGACGCTCTTTTCGTCGCGCATCGTTTCGCGCGACGACCTTGACGATTCGTTCAAGGAGGACAACCAGATCTTCAAGTCGCTCTCGCGCCTGTTTCCGTTTGGCGACTCGCTGGTTCTTATTCTGGACGACTCACCGGCGGTTTGGGCCGCCAATGCTGCCAACCTGCTCCAGGTTGCGCCGTACCGGTACTTTGTGTACATGGCTGGCGTCAACAACTTTGCCAACACCACGGTGCTTGCCAACGAGTCGGGCGCTGGGCCATCAGCACCGACGGCGGCCGAGGCCAAGGCCTCGCGCGACGCCAAGGCCGCCCAAGCAGCCGCGGCCTCGGTCGCCGTCCTCGCCCCGCTCGGCATCGAGATGGCCACGCCGCCCAAGGGCGAGCTGGAGCGCTTTGTCTTCCGCCCGCTGCCGGGCATCCCCGCGCAGCAAGCCCCGTCGGTCCGCAAGCTCCGCCATGACCTCCGTCAGCTTGAGAACATACAGAAGGTTCTCTCCGAGGCCCACCGCAGGTTCTTCATCGAACACGCCCGCGCAGAGGCTGGCGCTGACGACGCCACCCCTGACGCCAAAATCATCCTTCCCAATCTCAAGCTCGCAGTCCTTGACGGCGTTCGTATCTGCTTCTCCGGCGTCATTCCGGCGCACGAAAAGTACGACGAGCATCCGATGGTTGCCCTCGCGGCCGAGTTTGGCGCCCGCATCCATCTCGACGTCACCAACGATGTCACTCACGTTGTTGCTGCCCGGCCCACCTCCAAGGTCCTCAAGGCCCAGTCAATGGTTGGCAAATACATCGTCCATCTCGACTGGCTCCGCTCCTCAGTCAAGTACTATTGCCGCCAGAACGAGTCGCACTACCCTCTTGGCACCATCCCCACCCTCGTTACCGAGGCTAACCGCCGCGAGCCGCCGCCGGACTCGGAGTCGGACACGCCTGGCTTGACGGCAGAGGATCTGCAGGCCCTGCAGCAAGACCTCGATGACCTCAGCGACGACGACGACGAGAGCACAACCACCGATGACGACAACAACAACGGCGATGAGGACGGTGCCTCGTCGGACGCCAGCTCCGAGCCGGCAAGTCTCAAGCGCAAGCGTGACGATTCGGCCTCGGCCGGCCACTCGGCGCCCAAGCGGTCCAAATCGCTGGCTACAGGATCTGCCGCGGCTTCCGAGGCGAGGCCGGCGACAGAAGTCGGCGACGATGCCGGGCCGGCGACAGAAGGCGGCGACGATGCCGGGCCGACGACAGGAGAAGGCAACGAGGCTGGCTTTGACTTTCTCGACGATCTCTTTCAGTAGCAAGTTGTCAACAACGTAAACGCCAACCCATCGCGCCCATCGCCCGTCGCGCTCAATGTCCTCTACGGTCTCCAATCACTAATCTTCGGCATGCATCCCCGCGCTCACCAATCCTGATACTCACCGACACATCAAACTAGCCCCCTTCCCTCCCCCCTCCCCTCTTATCGAGGAAGACTTTGATGCGTTCAACAAGTGCGACAGGGGTCACAGGCAATCTACAGGATGAGGCACTTCTTCTTCTTGCCCGCGGGCTTACCGCCGGCCGAGTCGTCCTTCTTCATGCGACGGATCTCGCGGACGAGCTGGAAGAACGCCTCTTCGACGTTGACGCGGGTCTTGGCCGAGGTCTCGAGGAACGGGACGGTGAACGACTTGGCAAGCTCCTCGCCCTCGGCGGCAGAGACCTGGCGCTCCGACTCGAGATCGCACTTGTTGCCGCAGATCATGATCGGGACAGCGTCGGCGTCCTTGACACGGAGGATCTGCTCGCGGAACGCGGTGATCTCCTCAAACGACGAGCGCGAGGTGATGGCGTAGACGCAGAGGAAGCCCTCGCCGGTCCGCATGTACTGGTCGCGCATCGCCGAGTACTCCTCCTGTCCGGCAGTATCGAGAATGTCCAGCAGGCACGTCTCCTGGTCGATGATGACCTGCTTGCGGTACGAGTCCTCGATGGTGGGGTCTGTACACCAGCCTCTCAGTAAGTGCAGTCCAGGTAGAGGGTACCTTTGGCTGTATCTCTATCTATCTCCCTCCCCCCTCCCTCCCCCCCTCCTCCCCTCCTCCCCTCTCCCCCCCCTCCCCGCTCTCCCGACCAGGTCAAAAAAACAGCATTGGTGATGAATGAACAACAATGGGGGCGGCATTGGCCCCCCCCCCGCACGGAGCAGGGCAGGGACAGTCGTTGCCGTCAGAGGCTGCTGTCACCGGGAACAGAAGCATAGCAAGAGTAACTGCCACCAAGAGGGAAAAGGGGTGTATCTAGTAGGGGAGGGGGGTGGAGGTGGGGAAGAGCAGGGGGAAATAAGAGCTTCCCTCGGCATGGTGGGCTTGGGCGGAGGGAGGGGGGAGGGAGGGAGGGAGGGGGGCGGTGCGATCAGAACGACCAACAGGCCAGGCTGGCAAAGGGAGGGGAAGGGGATGTGTGGTACATACCGTACTCATCCACAAAGTGGTTCTGGATGAGCTGGATGGTAAGTGCGGACTTGCCGACACCACCACCGCCAACAACAACAAGCTTGTACTCGGTCATGTTGTAGAGAGAGAGAGAGAGAAGAATGCGAACCGAGGCGTTCAAGGGGCACTTGCACTAGTCGGTCGGTGGGGGGGGGGGAGGGGGAGAGGGGGGGTGGGGGGCAAACTGGCTCCTTTGCTTTGCCAATTGGTTGTATTTTGCTGTTCTCATTGCTTTGTTTTCAATGCTCCGACACTGCCCCCCGTTTGGGCGATTCGCTCTGTCTCTCCACCCCAACCAGGCGAACCCCCTCCGCCCCCCTCCCCCCAAACCAAGCCCAGCTTCTTTGGCCGATTGCCGACCTGCCCTCATTTGGTGTCACTTAGCTCGTGTTTGTTACCACCAACAGCACACTTTCCCAGACAGCGAGGCTCTTTGATCATCTACCTCACCATGGCTACGGATTGCGCAGCGGCGAGTGGACCTGGACTCGGCAGTTTGCCTGTGACTGATCGGCTGTATCTTGTGGATCCCTACCTGATGACGACGGCGGCGACGGTGCTTGCGGCGGCCGACGGCGGCGACGGCGAGTGGGACGTGGTGCTCGACAAGACGGTGGTGTTTCCCGAGGGCGGTGGCCAGCCAGCTGACACGGGCCGGCTGTGTCTTGCGGAGACGGTGCTGGATGTGGTGGGCGCGACAACGGCCAAGACCGGGCCAGACGCTGGAGTGGTGCACCACAGAGTGGCGGCATGTGACCGGCTGGCGGTGGAGAGCCTGGTCGGCGAGTCGGTGGTGGTCAAGGTCGCCGAGGCGCGGCGGATCGACCACATGCAGCAACACTCGGCGCAACACTTGGTCTCGGCAGTTGCCGCCGAAGTCTTTGGGGCGGCAACTGTGTCGTGGGAGCTCGGCTCCGAGGCCACGGCGATCGACGTCGAGCTGACCGCAGCCGAGGATGACGTCGATGTCGCAGCGCTCGAGGCCAGGATCAACGCACTCATCCGAGCGCGGACGCCGGTCACCTCGCATGTAGTTGATCGTGCGGCCATGGACGCACTGGTTGTTGCCGGCGAGGCTGACGGAACCAAGTTCCGCTCGCGCGGCCTGCCGGACTCGGTCACCGAGGGCATCCGGCTGGTGGCCATTGCCGGCGTTGATCTCAACACCTGCTGCGGGACGCATGTGACGAACCTCTCTGAGCTGCAGGCCATCAAGCTTCTTCCGCCGTCGCGGTCAAAGAAGCATCCGACCAAGATGCAGCTGAGCTACGTCGCTGGCCAGCGGGTCCTTGACCGGGTCGCCTCAGCGGTGGTCCTCTCGTCGCAGCTCAACAAGGCGCTCGGCTCGGCGGCGTGGCTCGAGTGCATTGCATCGTACAAGTCGGCGGCCAAGGAAATGGCACGGACACAAAAGGCGTTGGTGGCGCAGCTGGCCTCCTCGCAAGCCGATGTAGCTCGTGACGCCGCCTGCGCTGCTGGTTCGCCTCTTGCTCACATTCACCAGCCGGCCGGCGACGCTGCGTTCGCAAAGTCGGCCGCTGCCCGCATCCACGAGACACACCCGGGCCTGGTCGTATTTGTCACCTGCGGCTCAGAGAGCGGGGCCGGCATCTTTACGCTTGTTGCCGCTGCCGAGCCGGGCAAGTCACTCGTTGACGCGGTCGGGAAGCAGGCCGCGAGCCTGATGGACGGCCGCGGCGGCGGCAAGGGCGGCAAGTTCCAGGGCAAGGTGGCCAACCTCGGGGCGCGGGGCGAGGTCGTGGCGCTCATCGAGGCGCGCAGCGGAGAAGGCCAAAGCCAAGACCAGGGCCAGTAAACGAGCTTCGGTGGTACCGCAGTGTTTACTCGCCCTCCAGCACCTCGACATAGTTGGACGGCACCAGACCCTCGACGCCGTCCTGGATGCCGATCCACCAGCCGTCCTCGTCCTTGCCAGTGACGTCGATGATGTCGCCGGCGCGGAACGAGAGATCGCCTTCCTCGCCCTCGTAGTCGTAGAGGGCGCGGACGCGGAGCTGGACAGGAATGATGCCATCGTCGTCGTCGTCATCCCCAGCGGCGTCGCCATCCGACTCGACGACCGGGCCGTCCGAGGCGGCAATGCCAGTCGACGGCGGGCGCTGCGGCTCGGTCATGGCGCCGTCGCCCGACTCGACGCCCGACGCGTTGGTATCCGACTCGGCGGCCAGCTGGTGCGAGACCGGTTGGGCCAGGTGGGTCGGCGGCTCCTCCGACTCGGCCGACCGCGGCGACGAGGCCGACGAGGCCGCAGCAGCAGCCGGCGAAATGGTGAGCGAGGTGAGCTGCGGCACGTTGGCGGCCGTGTTTCCGCGCTCGGCCGCGTACCGCGCGTCTAGGCGGCCGGCAGCGTCGATCTGCTCGGCAATGGCCCGAGAGCCGCGCTCATGCATGATGAGCAGCGCCTTGGAGAGATCGGTGTAGCCCTCGGCAAAGCGCTCCTTCTTAAAGGCAGTGATCTCGTCCGACCGCGTGTCGCGCTCGCGGAGCGCCTGCTCCAGCTGCGCCTCCATCTCATCCACGTCGCCCTCGAGCTGTGCCCGCTTGGTCTCAAAGTCCGGCTTGCCCTTGGCCTTCTCCAGTGCCTTGCGCTTCTTCTCCAGCCGCGACTCGGCCGCCACTACGCTCTTGTTGAGCGGGTCGAGTGACTTGACCTCGTTGAGAATCGACTCCCACATAATCACAAACTGGTCGTACTTGTCGGCAAACGCGGCCTGAATGGCAAACCACTCGTCCTGCACATCGTTGATCTTGCGGAAAAAGACCTGCAGATCCGAGTCCTCCTCCTCCGATCCCCACGTCGAGATGGCGGTTTGTGCTGCCCATCATCATTCCATTCATCAGTGAGTACTTTCCACCAACTATCATCACTCAGAAAGTGCCTGCCATGCCCAAACCCATCATCTCTTGTCGCTGCCCCGTGCGGGTATTTTTTTTCACCGCTACGTCCAGCATTTTGCCAGCGGTTGTCCCCTCGGCGAACGGTCAATAACCGGACAACAGCATTGAAAGGGTAAAGGGAGCAGGAGAAGGAGGGCGGGAGGAGGACAGGAGAGGGAGGGAGAGGGGGGGAGAGGGGGGAGAGGGGGGGGGGGGGGGGGAGGGAGGGATGGGAGGCATTGGTGGCACATACCTAGTTTCTGCTTCTCAACTAGTTTGTTGAGAGTCTTGACCACGGCCTTGCCCATGGTGATGGCATTCTGTAGCTCCGAGTGGGACCGGGCCTGGTTGAGCTTCTGCTTCAACTTGAGTTTGTACATGGAGTGGAGGCCAGGGAAGATGGAGAGACTGACGTGAATGTGGTGTGTGGGGAGAGGCTAAACTATGCTTGCTCTTCTACTTTCCGCTGCTTTGCCCCTTTGGCTACTCGCCGCACAAGTTGGCGCTAGCGTGAGGTGGTCGCAAGGGCGAAACGCGTGACAGAGCAAACGCCCTCCCCTCCCTCCCCACCCACATCCACCCGCTTCCCTACTCCGAGTCCCTGATCCCCCTCACCTTCGCATCGCACGATGCCACCACCCATCAGTAGAGTAGGTGCCGATGGTGCCATTGAGGCCTTGCACCACAAGATGGCATACCTGGCATCAGCGAGTGCTTGCCATTGCTCGGGCCATCCGGCCCGCTATCTATGTGGCTTGGCCTGATACGGCTGGAGAGGAGCCAACCCGTAAGGGCTTCAACCCGCCATGCTATCGATCTCGCCGACCATCATCTCAGGCTTGGCCCTAGGGCGTACTGTAGTTGAGATCAAAGGTAGCAGTGCTAGATCCCGTCGTGATGAGACACAAAGAGGTCGAGCTGGTGAACCGTCAGGAACGGCGGCAGGCGTAGCAAGCTGCACAGTCTTCGTAGACCACTCCACTCGAGCTCCGAGGACGTACCTGAGTACCTCTTACCGAGTTCTTCCCTGCTACTTTCTCTCCCCCGTGTCTGGAGAGCTAGCCCAAGCACAAGTGCAAAAGGAGTGAGTCTCCGTCTCTCGCCCGAGCATGTCGTCCAAGGCCTCGCTGCAGAGGACTGGTGACTCGGCATTCAAGCGCATGGATCATGTGGTACGGCAAAGGGAGAGGGGGAGAGGGGAGAGAGGGGAAGAAATGTGGTCACTCATGGTTGGCGCGCTGGATCTGGTCCTGGGGCTGTGATGATCGTTCGTGGCCGGGGACTGTCGGTGGTGGCGGCTGGCGATGGTCACACAGTCGTCCGAGCTGTTTACCCTCACCTACGGATCGTTGGTCCTGCAGCTGATCGAAGACTTTGAAGACTATGCCGAGGTCAACAACCAGCTGGAGCGGATGGGGAACAACATCGGCCAGCGGCTGATCGAGGAGTTCCTGGCCAAGTCACGGGTGAGCAAGTGCGGCGACTTTGCAGAGACCTGCGAGGTCATTGCCCTCGTCGGCTTCCGCATGTTCCTCGGAGTGACAGGCACCGTGAGCCAGTCGGCTAAGGAGCCACACGTCTGCCACATCACCCTCGCCTCCAACCCGCTGCTCGACTTTGTCGAGCTTCCCGATGAGGCCAAGGGCGTCCTGCAATACTCGAACATCCTCGTCGGCGTCCTCAAGGGCGCGCTGGAGATGGTCCAGATGCGGGTCGACGTCGAGGTCGTCCACGACCCGCTCGTCGGGGATGAGGCCACAGAGCTCAAGCTCACCCTGCTGGAGATCATCAACGACGAGCCACCTCCGGACGACGAGTAGTGTAAACGCCGCTGCACTCGCTACAGCCAGAGCACGTCCGGCCGCCGCCGCCGAGGCCCAGCCCATGCCTGCGGCGGCTTGACCGTGGCCACCTCCATGCCCATCGTCCACTTGAAGGCCTTGCGCTGCGCCGCAGGCGTGAGCTCGGCCGCCCGCGCCGCCCGCAGCCGCGACTCGATGGTACGCTCTATCGCATTCTTCCGCGGCAACGTTGGCGTAACCGGCGAGGCAAGCGTCGGTCGTCTTCCTGCAGCACCAGGTGTTAGCGGAGAAGCTCGATGGAGCCGCGGCCTGGACGCAGTGCAACAAGCGCCCGTTCCGCAGCCGAGGCTCCTGCCCAGCACCGGCGAGAGAGCCTCCAACACCGACCTCCGCTTCCCTGCGGCATACGCGTTCTTGATTGGCGTCAGCGCATCCGCCATGTTAGCCAGGGAAAGAGTTGCGATGCAACGGTGGATGAGCGTAGCGTCGTGTGGTGCGACTGGTTGCCTGGCAGGTGGCCAACGGCCGGCCGGTCGACTCGCCGACGAGCCCGCGGCCTCGAAAGTTGACCAATCCATCCATCTTTCTCCATGTCGTCGTCGTCGTCTTCGTCGGCATCGCTGCCGGTCAAGGGAAGCAAGGCCAAGAGCAAGAAGAGCAAGGGAGGTGTGAAGAAGATGCAGCAGGAGGCGGAGTCCATGAGTGAGAGCGACAGTGTGGCTCAGAGTTGCGGGTCGGACGCTGGGGCCGACGACTCGGGCTCGGGTGAGATGGAACCGGCAGGCGCCGACGACTTTGCCATCAGCCTGGAGGAGCTGATGCCGTCGCAGGTCTTTGAGCTGGCACGGCTTCTGGGCTCGGACAAGGTGATGAAGGAGAACAAGGGAGTGGACGAGATCGAGGCCATGGCCGTCGCGCTCCGGCTCCCGTGCCAGGACCTGATCGACCACCTGGGCTCGCGCGAGATCGCCTCGGAGCTCCTCGCGCTCTCCGCTGTCGATCTGGCCGAGCTGGAGGAGCGAATGGCGATTGTGGACGAGCCCGAGCTTCCGCCGCCGAACCCGTTTGCCGAGTTCCACCGCGCTATGGCCAAGTCAGAGCGCAAGCGCAAGCGGCGCGAGAAGGGCCTCGACTCGGACGAGGGAACCAACTCGGACGAGCTGTCGGACGAGTCGCGCGAGCGCCGCGCCCGTAAGCGCGCCCGCCGCGAGCGCCAGAAGCAACGCCGCAATGCCAAGAAGGCCGCCCTCCTCGCTACTGAGGACGGCAAGGCTGTCCTTGCCGAGAAGAACCGCCGCCGCAAAGAGGCCCGCAAGGCGAGCCAGCTGCGGAAGAAGATCGCAAAGCTGGAGGCCTCCATCGCTGCGGGCAAGATCAACAGGTGGAAGGCCAGCCTCACGCTGGACGAGGCCAAGGAGTATGAGGAGACCAAGGCCGTGCTGCCGTGCCGCCTCCCCAACGCCCAGCGTCTCCGCCTTGATAAGTACACTGCCTTTGAGTGCCACAGGTGCAACGCCCTCAACGGCTCGCTCATTGTCTTCTTCTTGGACGGCCAGCCCATCTGCAACCCGTGCTACACTCCGCTTGTCCCGCCCAAGACTGCCGAAGACATCGCAGCCGCCAAGATTGCAGCCGCCAAGAAGAAGAAGGCCAAGCAACTGGCCAAGCACCGCGCCCGCCATGCCGCAAAGGCCGCCGCTGCCGCTGCGTCGGCTGATGCCGGCTCCTCAGCCGCACCCGCAAACGAGACTAACGAGTCTGGGAAGGGCAAGGCCGAAGACAAGGCCAAGGCCAAGGACAAGGCCAAGGACAAGGCCAAGGACAAGGCCAAGGACAAGGCCAAGGACAAGTCCAAGTCCAAGTCCAAGTCCAAGTCCAAGTCCAAGAAGAAGTCCAAGTCCAAGGACCAATAACACCCCCCCCCCCCACCCCACTCCAACTCATGCCTTCCACATCGTGACTGGCCTTGCG